TTGTTTTGAAATGAAATGGAAATTGTGCTAGATCATGTTTATGGTTTTTGAACACTTCATTTGAAGAGTTGAAAGACAGAGATTGAGCATGGTTTTTGTATAAATTCTTTACATTTGAGAAGTTGGAAGAGAAAGATTGAGGAAAAAAATGATTGATCTGGTTTTCCTTTATGTTTATCGTAATTTACAGTGTCATACAGACAACACATATTTCATTTAATGTATGTAGTATAGGTTGGATGGCAAAGTTCTTCAAACAAGTGCAACATTTATCATTCAATTTTTATAGTTTAAGTGTGAATATGGTTATATTAGTAGTTACCAATCTCAGTAGAAAATTTATATCATCATATACGACTTTAAGAGTTGAAAGAGAGAGATGAGGGGGAAACAATTATTGATCTGGATTTCCTTTATGTGTATTGTAATTTACACTATCATGCAGACATATTTCATTTAATGTATGTAGTATAAACAAATGCAACATTTATTTCAACATACATGACTTTACGACACGTGTTTTGATGCTTTGGAATAATGCCAAGGACTTTCAGAAGTTATTTCAATGGTGAAGATAATAGACATTTTGTTAGGATATAATTTAATAATAGTTCGAAGCATACACCAAGGAAGGTTAGTGGCCTGCAGATCATAACCATTGGTTTGGCATGGTTTCTAAATCCTGTTTTGTTGCACATATTTGGCAGAATTTTCCAATTTTGCATCTAATAAAAGAATAATTAGAACTTGTTAAGTTGCCTTAAAAGGTGTCATGTGGACTAACGCAGACTATTTTCGGATTTAGTTTAGTAATGACCACCTTTTTATCTGTTTCAGCTACCAGGGAAATGCCTCTCCATATGATTCTTATTGCAGCTTATAAACACCCTGATGTGAACTCAGCTTATAACAATGTAATCTGATCAGTTGTGTTTCACAAAGTAAGTGTTCTTACCTGATGTTGATTTTTGAAAGCACCGATTCGATTGTTAGTGATAAATCTTAATAACTGATATTCTGCTTTTTTTATTTATACTTTTCTTATCTTCTAGAAATTGGTTAAGTGATTCTTATTTTGGTGTAAACTTGATGCAGACACTCAGAAAATGCAACAATTATGTTTATTTCGGTGAATAAATTTTGTTCTCTCTTGGACTATAAGCAACTCTCCATTTATTGGATTTTGCAATTGCATGTTGGCATGAGTTTTAGCCTTTTACTACCAATGGAAAAAATCATTATGAGTATGCTTAACACTATTACGGACTCCACTAATTTGAGCTTTATGTGGTCATGGTAATTTCAGAACTTTTCCTTTATTGGTAAATTAGATAAAAGAAGGAAAAAAGTTGAGTACTCGTGACCATTCAAATTTAAGTATATAGGTTCTTCCTCCCTGTAATTTAGCTGATGAGGCCTAAACTAAAATTTCGAAATGCAAAAAACTTATAAGCTCAAATAGTGAAATGGTCATTTGTTATAACATTTCTTTGAATTTTAGTGAGTTCATGGATTTGTTTAATGCTTCAAAAACAACCGAGTCCTTTCCTCACTCTTCAGAAGGTGTTCTAGTCTTTTGAGCTGAAAATAGAAAAGAAGATTTGATCTTATCCCCTATTTTAAGCTCCAATCTTTGTGCTTAACTTAGTATCTCAAAATTCTTATAGTTGGCATTTTTAAGCCCCAACTAGTGTTTTTTTAGGGTTGAGAATAAGAAGGCTACTTGAAGGAGACAAATCATCTCTTGATTTTTTTTTATTTTTTTTTATTTATAATTTTAATTTTTTATTGAGTGGCATGCATTACTGGGTCTCTTTATCGTTTGGCAAATGAAAGACCTTTCTGCTATATAACACTATTGATCTTGTGACTCTTTAGTAGTTTAGAGTTAAGACGTTTGCCTGTTTATAATTAAGTACTAAAGAATTGGATGACATTCATAAAGGAGGCCTATGTAGTTCTTTAATTTTTTTTTTTTTTTCTTGAATTTACTCTTGAGGGCTTGATCAGAATAATGGATCTGAGTTTGGCTGAAAGTAAATCTATTGCTGATCAATGTTTAACTTTGAGTGCTAGATTAATGAGTTGTCGTGTTCACTTGTGATGCCAAAACTGATCGGTAGTGATAATTTGATTGATTCCCCTGGATAGGTTTTTATTTGTATGGCTTCTTTAAAGCATGTTGCTTGGATATTCTTTATTAAAATGCTTTGCCAAATTTATATATAATATCTCTGTTTCCGATGCATTGGGTATGATTAATATTGTTTGGCAATTTTTTTTTTTTTTTAATGGAATTGGGGGGGAAAGTGAATTCATTTTGTCAACTGAGATTATGGTTCCAGTCCAAGTGCAAAGGTAATCAAAAGTTAAACTGTCATATAGAACAACTGGAAACAATAGAAACTAGGTTAAAACAGTCCAGCATAACAACATAAACTAAGAACGCAAATTAAAACTAGCAAAGCGCTTTCTTCTTGCGCGCTCCAAAGGCTTGAGATGTCCGCAAAGCCACCTTAAGACCCACCAGCTATAAGCTATCAACCATTCCTACCCGCTTACAATCCTAATCTGTCAATGAGCCCTCCCCCGGTGTTCCGCCACCTCTGGTTCATTTCTGAATTTGATGTGGCATGAGGCACACTCCGGTTCATTTCTGTGTACTGCGGCTTGATGATTCACCAAAGCAGAAAGTGCGCCGCACGATTTGTTACATAGGTTGCAAGAAAATACTTCCAACCTTTGCGGCCCTGGTGCACATGCGCACATTCTAGGGTTCTCAACATTGCGAACCACTATGTAACCAAAACAATTCTTGCAAGCTTTGTTGGGCATGTTTTTGACCTACAATATCTATGGAAAACAAAGGAAGAAAAAAATCAATTGATATATAGAAATTAAAAAAGAAAGATGTGATTATAGAAACAAAAAAACATATGTTTTTCCATGCTAGAATGCTATTCACTTGTGTATTGTTCGAATTTAAATCTTGGAGCCTTTTAAGCCCGAATTTTCTGTTCAAATGTCATTTTGCTCCAATAATTGTGCAGGAAGACCGAAAATTGAATGGAAAAAAAAAATTAATAATAAAAAAATAAGAGACACTAAAATATAATTTCATTACCATATCCCAACCCAATTGCTTCTCAGACCCTTGCAAGTTTAACTTTATGTACTAGTGCTATTTTCTTGGTGACCAAACAAAGCAATGGAAAGTTAATCACTCAATTGCATAATAAGAAGTGACTTCATAAATGCTATCAAATACCAGTATCACACAACACACCATGTTGGTATCTAATCAAATTGACCAATCAGGAGCCCATTATAGGGTAATTTGGGCCCTGGCCTATTCCGTATTGTGGGCCGGACTGTTTTAGAAGGCTTCGGTGGCCCAATAAGCTTTGTAGTGGTGGCCCAGTGGCTGGCCTTAAAGGGCTAGGCCAGACTTGTTTAAGTAGGCTTTGGCGGCCCAGGGACCGACCTAAATGGACTGGACCAGACAGCTTGCAGCAGGCTTCAGCAGTTGTAAAATATACATCTTAAGAGAGGATCTTCTTGTTAATTTTTTAAAATAGCAAGTCTTGAACATAAAAAGATACATGGGTTAATATATATATATGTATATATGACAAAATGATTGGGAAGAATAATAATCCAATAAAAAATGACTCTTAACTATTAGAATCCAGAAATTAACAAATCAAACAATTTAAAACCAACACAAATCAGGTCCAGAAATTAACAAATCAAACAATTTAAAACCAACACAAATCAGGTCCAAAACATACTGAAGTAAAAATACTCCATTTCATCACATGTCATTCAACAATACAAACCACGAACTACAACACAAATTAGTAATTCAATGGATGATTAATAGAGTGGGATTTTTTTGCGACAAATGGAAATAGATTAGGTGGTTTAAGTGTCAAAATGAGAGTTTAAAGGAGTTTCTTAAGAAAGAGAAGAAAATTCAGGCCTTTTTATATTGAACCTGTTATCCTTGCAATTCTTTTCACTGATATATACTAAGTTCTTTTAGACTATAATTTTATTCACGCCCATATATTTTAATGAGTGTGTAGATAGAGAATCAGATAAATATATATATATATATATATATATATATATATATATATAGTTCCTTTTGTGTCTTTGTCAACTGGAAAACTGGCTTGAGAGCATATAAACAATACAAGAAAATTAATTCAAGGCATTCTCTGAAGAACCCATCAATAATTAAATAGGCCTTTTCTTTTCCACTCAACAAAATTTAAAAAATATAATATAAAGAGGAAGCTTAGTTGTACAACAGAGTTAAACAAAGAACAAGCAACTCATTCAGCTTAAATAAGCAGTAAATCACATACCAGCTAACAAGCAGGTGAATATGGTGAGAAGCAGAGCAATGAGCCAATGAGTCCTTGTTGTTGCCTGATCTTTGGCCAAACACCTTTAAAATGTCCAAAGTTTGTATTCTAAAAGTCTATGCAGAGTAAGAGATAGAGACTGGGAGAGGCGTGCTAGAGAGAGGGGTTTAGTGCAGGAAAGATGAGGTGAGGAAGGGTATTGTGCGAGTATATAATGGTCAAAAGGCGTGCTAGAGAGATGGTAATGAAGCCTCTCTTGTTTGAGAGCCAAAAATGGGTAGCTTTGCCCAATGGGTTTCTTTTTGCCAGAGGTCCCTAAATACTCAATATGACAATGATGTGCCCTTCGAATACCAAGGGGCAATGCCATTTAAATTGTCCACAAGCTTGCTCTTAATATTTATGGATGTGCAAATACGTTTGATATATATATATATATATATATATATAGAGAGAGAGAGAGAGAGAGAGAGAGAGACCAGTATTAACCTTTGATGCTGCAGTCAAAGACGTTTACATCAATTGTTAGCTGGCCAGCATCATTTGAGTTCAGATGCTTTTAATAGCTGCTCCTTATGATTCATAATCAACCACATGCATTTGTTTATCTAGTGCTAAAAACACATGTAAGGAAAATATGTTTCATTGGGAGATGGAAAGAGAGGTTTGTACAATTAAGGAAAAATAAAAGAGGAGGTTTGTACATGCTGCTAAATCAGATCAGCTCTAATACACATTTTTTTATACAATATACATGTTTATATGCTCAAGCAAGCATGAATTAAAATTCACGAATTAAAAGGACTATTATCCTATTATTACTTCAGTAAGATGAAGGACATCTCCCTCTTAATTCACGAATTAAAATCCACTCTAATACCAAGGCAAGGAAGCGCAAATTGGCTATGTAGCAAGTTTTGTTACTTCGGCACACAGTAGGCTCCAACAACACAACATGGTTCAATAGGCTTGAAACTGCTCGGCCTGCAGCTTCTTCACTTCCCGAGCAAAAATTGACTTATCATAGTTGAATCTTAGCAGTTTGCCTAAAATATTGAGGCAAATCTCACCAAATTTTCCCACCCCTACCAAGCCAAAAACAAGAAAGAAAGGTATTTAGCTTACTTCAGGGAAACCAGATTTATTTTTTCTCTCTCTTTCAATTCTTAAAATGCAAAGAATGCTTACAAAAACCATAAAAATCATGTCGCACAATTTCCATTTCATTTCACAACCACCAAACAAAGAAATAGAAAATCAACTGCAGGAGATCAAATTTTCTCACCTTATCGCCCCACAATAGCTGAGCCCTAACCGAAAACAGTTGAGCTTCAATAGCAGCTTTAGAAAATCCCACGCTAATTCTGAGTTTTTCCAGCAGATAAACTGTTGCCATGTAGTTTGAGAATTCTCAGAATTATGACTGCTTAAGCTGCTACAAAATGTCTACAAAATGGCAAAAAAATATCATGATGTATCAATACAAATATAAAATATATATAAAACAGTAGCTAGTTGACATGTTACTGGCAGAAACTAAAAACAATGAAACCCTACTAACAGGATAATTACTGAGATGAATCTAGAAACTTCTTAGATTGTACCATTGGGCTAGAGGCCCTTTGGATGTGAAGTGCGTAAGTTGCTACCATAGACACCTCAACAAAAATAAGTGTCATGCAAAGAACACATGAAGCATTAATAACTAGATCAATAGCAAATAGAAATGGTTTTAACTCTAAACTACTAAAAAGTCACAAGCTCAATAGTGTTTGTTATGCTAGTTATAGATTACCATGAAAGCTAGAATATTAGTAAAAGAATTCATCCAAATGGTACAATACTTTCATATTTTCATCCGGCATTGCTAGTGATAGCGACTAATATTGAGTCTTAACTTGGTACCACATCAACACCTTTATAATGAGACTGAACATCATAAGTTAAGGAGATGACAATAGGCCACTCAATAAAAAAATCTACACACAGTTTGTCTGAATAGCGAGGAAAGGATTCGGTTGTTTTTTAAGCATTAAACAGATCAATGGACTCACTGAAATTCAAACAAATGTTCTTGTACCAAATGACCATTTCGCTATTTGAGTTTATAAATTTTTGAAAGATAGTTTGCATTTTGAAATTTCAGTTTAGGCCTCTGCTACATTGCAGAAGAGGAGGAACCTATATTCTAAAATTTAAATGGTCACATACTTTTTTTTTTCCCATCTTTTATTATCTAATTCACCAATTAAGGAAAAGTTCTGAAATTAACATGACCATATAAAGCTCAAAATAGTGGAGTCCATAATTGTGTTAAGTATACTGAGAATGATTTTTGCCATTGGTAGTAAAAGGCTAAAATTCATGTCAACATGCAATTTCATAATCAAATAAATGGAGACTTGCTTATAGTCCAAGAGAGAACAAAACTTATTCACACTCAAATAAATAATAATTATTGCATTTTCTCAGTGCCTGCATCATGTTTACACCAAAATAAGAATCACTAAACCAATTTCTAGAAGATAAAAAAAAGTATAAATAAAAAAAGGAAGAATATCAGCTATAAGGATTTATCAATCTATATAACAATCTATGCTTTCATAAATCAACATCAGATAAGAACACCTAATGAGTACACATCAGTGTGTTTATGACCTGCATAATTGTGCAGAATTGTCTGCAATAAGAATCATGTTGAAGGATATATATAAAAGTTGCACCCTCTCTAACAGCTTAAGCTTTTGGAGTAGATGGTTGCTAACATCATATCAGAGCCAAAGGTCTCGAGTTCAAACCTCACCGTCACCCTAATTAAAAAAAAAATTTGAAAAACACGAGTTGGACCAAAAAGAAGGCCACACGTGAGGGGGCGTGTTGAAGGATAAATATATAAAAGTTGCACCCTCTCTAACAACTTAAGCTTTTGGAGTACATGGTTGCTAACAAATCATATACAGAGGCATTTGACCACTGCAGACAAACTTACCCTGGTAGCAGAAATAGATAAGAAGAAGGGCATTACTAAACAAAATCCGAAAAATACTGTGTTATCCACAGGACACCTTTTAAGGCTACTCAAGAAGTTCTAATTTTTCTTTTATTAGATACAAAACTGGAAAACCAATGGTGTATGCTTTTGACCTGCATTACTTATCAGCAGATCATGTCTATTGCAGGGTACTAAGTTTCCTTGGTGTATGCTTCTTTTACCAGGAGAAAAGAAAGTGAACTCCATGTACAAGACTCTATCCTAACAAAATATCTATTATCCTCACCATCGGAATAACTTCTCTTAGCATTATTCCAAAGCATCAAAACACACGTGTCGTAAAGTCACGTATGATGAGATAAATTTTCTTCCGAGATTGATAACTCCTAGATGTTGCACTTGTTTATAATAGATACATTAAATGAAATATGTTTGCATGAAAGTGTAAATTTCATTTAACATAAAGGAAAACCAGATCAATCATTAGTTTCCCTCAATCTCTCTTTTTCAACTCTTCAAATGCAAAGAGTTCATACAAAAACCAAAAACATCATCTAGCACAATTTCCATTTCATTTCAAAACAAGCAGACAGAGAAATAGAAAATCTTGTGCAGGAAATCAATATTTCTTACCTTATTGCCCGCAGGAAATCAGTCTGCCCAAATCGAACACATGCATTGATGAGAACTCCAACAGGTTGAGCCCCAATCAAACACAGTTGAGGTTCAATAGCTGCTTTGGATTCCGATTTGAGCTCCAATAGCTGCTTATCCTTGATAATCGACTACATGCATAGATTACTTTCAGCCCTTTTTTGATAATCAATTAATTTTAGCCCTAAACAGCACAAATATGGCAAATATATTTTTAAGAGGGATGGAAAAAGAGTTCATTACATGCTGATAAATCAGCTCAAATACACACATATGTAGAGAGAGAAAGAAAGGGTTGACATTGATTTTCCACTTACAGGACTATGTATTTCAATGAAAATTCTGTATTCTGGCTATGAAGAGAGAGGAGAGAGAGCCAGAGAGAGAATGATTACAAAAGAGAAATAAGAATAATCTATGAGAGAAGATAGAGTCAGAGAGACATTCTAAGAGATAGATAGAGACTGGGAGAGACTAGAGAGAAGGGTTTAGTGCAGGAAAGATAAGTTTCACGGAAGAGTACTTTGAGTAATTGGAGGAAAGTTAATAAAATAGTTTGAGCAGCGGTCACAATATCTCTTAGGCAGCGATTAGAGAAAAAGGCTAGCATAAAGGGACTCCTGTATATTTGCCGAAAGAAAGAGAAAGAAAAAAAAAGAATAAGTCAAGCTCTTGCAGCAATTTATTTAGATCGCTACTATACATCCGCCATCATTTCCTCATTAACTTGCAGTGAGGATATGTGATGAATTCAGTGCTAAGATTCTTGTCTGCAAAGAGAACAATAAATGAAAGCAAAACTCAGAATTCATTGAACAAGTCATGCTCATAGTAAATTTCTTGTGTTACAGCAATTATCCACATCGCCGGATGAAAATTCTCACTGCAGGAATCACTCAATCTAGCAACCACACATGCACAACACCATCTTTCATGCACGGAAAAGTTTCTGGAAAAGAGTTACTAGCAGATCCAGGACATACAAGGGATGAGGGACTAATTTAAAGAAAGAGAAAACATGTGTAATAAATAAATAATAAATATAATTGATTATTGGAGATACAGCCTGAAAAACCACTAATCATTTGTTAGGAAGGTGGTTACTCAAGTTGTTTAGTTTTGGCCTCTGCAGCTTTCATCATTAACAGAATGATATCAGAAATACTAAGGTCTGCACTAAAAATTAGCTCTAATCATCTAAACCAGATACCAAATCTAACGCAGCAACCCAACGCATCGGTAACTGAGATACTATATATAAATTTGGCAAAGCATTTTAATAAAGAATATCTAAGCAACTTCACATGCTTTAAAGAACTACTATGACAGCCATACAAAAAAAAAAAAAACAGGGGAATCAGTTTTGGCATCAAAAGTGGAAACGACTACTCGTTAATCAATCGCTCAATAATTGCCAAACATTGATCAGCAATAGATTTACATTCAACCGAACTCAAACATTGATCAGTAATAGATTTACTTTCAAACACACACAGATCCATTATTATCAAGCCCTCAAGAGTAAATTAAAGACATCCAGGGAATTTTAATAATAAAAAATCATAGAACTACATTGGTCCCCTTCATGAATGTCATCCAATTCTTTAGTACATGAAAAGGATTCCACATTTGATCATGAAAAGGAATCCACATTTGACCAAACTTAATTATAAACAGGCAACCTCAAGAAACTACCATGTAACTACCAATCAAGCAAGGCTGCTTGGCACAACCCAGCAAGGCTCTTTCATCATACACTGAAGGTAACAAACTGTGACAAGTTTGAGAAATGTAATCAACACACCAAACACTAGAAACAAAGATTGACGAAAAATATACACTTACTACGAAAAAAGAACAGAAAAAATAAGACACAGAGAGTTGTCAGGATTCACCATTTTTGCATGACAAGATCTGGTTCTCTCTTGCGATTAGGGTTTAAGAACGTCGAAGCGCAAACCCTAAAACTATGGCAGCCCCAGTCGTGCTCGAGAAAAGTGTGATTATATATTAGGTTGTTAAATGCTTGGAGACACCATCGTCTGTTGTTGATATTCTACCGAAAGGCACCGTATATATCAAGCCTAGTCACTCATCGCCCTACCAATCTAAACCCTAGCCCACCTTGCGTGTGTAGCCCAACCCACAAAAGTAATTTGGATAATAAAAAATATGTTTATCACTATAGGCCTCACTGAAATTCGTTTATCACTATAGTGTGGAAAGGACTCAATTGTATTTTAAGCATTAAACAGATCAATGGACTCACTGAAATTCAAAGAAATGTTGTACCACATGACCATTTCACTATTTGAGTTTATAAATTTTTTAGAGAGTTCGCATTTTGAAATTTCAGGTTGGGCCTCTGCTAAATTGCAGGGGAGGAAAAATCTATATACTTAAATTTACATGGTCACAAGCACTTAATATTTTTCCTTCTTTTACTCACCATCATAATAACTTCGAAAATACTAAACCAAATCCGAAAATACGCTGTGTTAGTCCACAGGACACCTTTTAAGGCTACTCAACAAGTTCTAACTTTTCTTTTATTAGATACAAAATTGGAAAATTCTGCCATGCGAAACCAATGGTTATGTAATGACCTGTACTACTTGTCAACATGTCGATTGCAGGTCACTAAGCTTCCTTGGTGTATGCTTCTAACTTTTATCAAATTCTATTTACCAGGAGAAAAGGAGGTGAACTCCATGGCATTATTCCAAAGCATCAAAACACAAGTGTCGTGAAGTCATGTATGATGACTGATGAGATAAAATTTCTTCTCAGATTGACAACTACCAAGTTAAACCATATTCACACTAAAGCCATAAAATTGAATGATAAACGTTGCCCTTGTTTAAATAACTCTGCTATCCAACCTATACTACATTAAATGAAATATGTAGTGTAAATTACGATAAACATAAAGAAAAACTAGATCAATCAATTTTTTTTCCCACAATCTCTCTCTCTCTCTCTCAACCCTTCAAATGCAAAGAGTTCATACAAAAAGCATAAACATCATCTAGCACAATTTCCATTTCATTTCAAAACAACCGAACAGATAAATACAAAATCAAATTTTCTCACCTTATTGTCCGCAAGAAATCAGTCGGCCCAAATCGAAAGGACTTCCATAGCTGAGCCCCAATCAAACACAATTGAGCTTCAATAGCTGCTTTAGACTCCGATTTGAGTTCCTATAGGTGCTAATGCTTCATAATCGACTACATGCAATGATTAATTTTAGTCCTAACAGCATAGGTATGGCAAATATTTTTTTAAGCGAGAGTTTGGTACATGCTGATAAATTAGCACTAGCACACGTATATTTATATATGTATAATATGTTTATATGTAGAGAGAGAGAGAGAGAAAGAGTTGACATTGATTTTCCAGTTAAAGGACTGGACTACGTATTTCAGTGAAAATTCTGTATTCCTGCTATGAAGTGAGAGAAGAGAGAGAGCTAGAGAGAGGGTGACCGAAGAGAGAAACAAGAGTAATCTATGAGAGAAGATAGAGTCATAGAGGCATTCTCAGAGACAGATGATTGTTCCATCAATTTTTTTGGGCTTGAACAGTCTTGTGTGTAGTGCGAGAGAGAGGAGAGACGGGCGTAGAGCAGGAAAGATAAGTTTCACGGAAGAGTACTTCGGGTAACTGGGGGGAAATTAATAAAATAGTTTGAGCAGCGGTCACAATATCTCTTAGGCAGCAGTTAAGAGAAAAAGGCTGGCATAAAGGGGCTCCTGCAGCGGTTTATTTATACCGCTGCTATACATGCACCATCATTTCCTCATTAACTTGCAGAAAGGATATATGATGAATTCAGTGCTAAGATTCTTGCCTGCAAAGAGAACAATAGATAAAAGCAAAACTCAGAATTCATTATAAAGTCAGGCTCATAGTACTGACAAAAGAAAATATAGATACTTGCAGGAACCACTCAATCTAGCAAACCACACATGCACATGCACGAAAAAGTTTTTGGAAAAGAGTTCGTAGCAGATCCGGGACATACAAGAGAATGAGGGACTAATTCAAAGAAAGAGAGAACATTTGTAAGAAACAAAAAAAAAATATTGATTACTGAAGCTACAGCTTCAAAAACCTATACAGGGGAATCAATCAAATTATCTACTGCTGATCAGTTTTGGCATCATAAGTGAAGATGACTACTCATTAACCGAGTAGCTCAATAATCAGCTATTCATTCATCAGCAATAGATATACATTGAACCATGTAAGCAAGGCTACTTGGCTGCAATCCAGCCGATCTAATATAAGAAAATTGTGGTCTAAAGAATATATATATATAAATATATTCTAGCTCAGGAAATATTTATAATACCAATAAATAAATGAGAAACAACCACAATAATATTTAATTAATGGTCTTGCGAGATTGATCTCACATTTTGATACAACAAGAGATAAAAATAGATTACTTGTAACGACCCTAAACTGAAAACCAAATTTAAAAAAAAAAAAAAAAAATTCGGCATGACCTCTGCTAAAAAGGGTCCTACAACAACCTGCTTAAAAAATATATATATATATATGCAATGTCCTCTCATGGACCTTCAAGACTTATCCAACTTGTCCCAATACACAATACAAATTATATATTCCAGCATCCCTTTCATCCATTCATTATGCCTCAACATGGTTCATCTCTTGGTGGAACATCCACATACCATTTAATCCAAATTATCGTAATTACAGTCACAAAATATATGGTTAAGATCTAAAGTCCATGTCTTACAATGTTTAGACAACTTATAATAAAGTTACAACCCATAAATATAATTACAATAACAAGAATCCACAAATCTCTATACCGAATATAACAAACTAAGGTTTTACAAAAAAATTATGGGACTTAGATACAAAAACAGCAAAATGATCTTCTAATCCAAATTAGGCCTGTGGTGGAACGTCGTTCGCCACTTCTTTCCCGTTTCCTAAAAAATGTTAAATATAAGGGGTGAGCAAAATTGCTCAGTAGGTGGTGCCTAAGACACCTCTTGTAGCCCCATGAATCCAAATAATGAATAGGACAATAGGGAACGGGGTCATGCTAAGCCGGGAAAATACAATATCAATTCCAAGTTCAAAACAAGTAAATGTCGTGCCATGAATGCAACGTCATGCATGTCATTCCCCATTTTCAGAAAACATCCATCACTTCACAAACTGTTAATATAACCCGTCCTTTGGTGACTCCGCAGCGACACGAGAGAAGGATTGGCTACTGTCCCTGACCCTTGGTACCTCCGCGGCGTCATTTTGGGCCCAGATAGCTCAACCACGCTAGGGCAATCTCCCTAGTTCCCTCCGGGCTATATTAACACACCAGCCCTTTGGTGACTCCGCGGCGACCGAGTTTTCTCAAAAACACTTTTACCAAAACATTTCCCCAATTTTTTTTTTTATACCAAATACTTTCCCTTTTTCTTTCATGCCCGATGCCATGGATGCATGCTACATATTTTCCAATAGTATAAAATGAAGGGAATTTAAACTTCACAATTTAACATGTTTCTTCATAGGAATTTCTCAGAAAATATTATAAACACCATGGCATGGAAAATTAACAAATTAAGCATATTCTTTCATACATTTCAATTAAATACACATAAGCATGTTTTTCATACAATTCAATTTAACACAAATAATCATAAACTTCATACATGACAATTATATCATTCTCAAGGCTAATAACTCAAAATTAAATATGTTTTGCAACAATTAATGAGAGAGAACTCACAAAGGAACAAGAAAAACATGACTTAGGAACCCCTACCTCAATTTTATGCAAAACCCACAATTTTCACCTCAAACCCTAGGATTTAGAGATCCATCAAATGATGGCCAAATGGAAATTGGCTCTGATCAACTCGTAGATCTCGTCGTGGGCTTCAAATTGCTGCAAACGGCTTCCAAAAATACCAAGGATTGGAGGAGAAATCAAGCTCTAAAACTTTGATTAAAAAAGAAAAAGAAAAAGCAAAGTAAAGGGGAGAGAGAGAACCAGCGGGGAGAGAGAAATGAGAGAAGGAAAATGAGGCTAAAATGCCTCTTTGCCCACTTTAAAGCATTCATGTGGGCCCCACCTATTTTTCTTTTTATTTTTCATTTTTCTTTTGTTTTTATTTTACACCACACACAACATATATAAACATATACACATTAATTTACAACCACATAAAATACATTGAATAAAATAGATAAGATGCAAATGGACCCAATTAAAATCCCCGCATGCAACAATTTCGGTAGCGGGTCCCACATGGGACCGTCCGGCCCGAAAAACGAAAAAATGCAAGAATGATCACCCTTACATTTCAAATAGTCTTGGACTCAATGAAATGTCCCACACAGTTCACAGACACAACTAGCACACTCCACAGTGTCCGGCAGGCGAAATGGCAAAAGACGAAAATGCCCTCGCAACAACAAAAATTCCAAAAAAATGAAAAATGGCGAAAATTGAAAACATCACATTACTTTACCACAAAATGATAAGCACAAAAACAAAAAAATAAATTAAATTAGATTTGACCAAAAGACAATCCAAAAACAAATTAAGTCTATACTCATTTTCCTAAAACAATTAGTACAATCCAAATTGAGGGTGGCATATGGTTATGTGAAGGATCAAAGATGCAATGGGTCCCAAAGCTTCCATTCTCTATGTTGAAGATACCAATGACGCGGCACCCAGGTGCGGGATAATATACAATGATTTTATAATCTTTTGTGTAGAATATTGAATTTGCCTGACATCCGGACCATTTGGAAGTTGAAACACAAATGGAATGGTGATCTCCCCAAAACAGGGTGTCTCCACCCAAGTTGTTCGCTTCAACCTGCATAGGCTAACCTTGCTCAAATTGCTCTAAGAGCAACTTGAAAACCTGAATTCTCTTTTTATCTAACGTAAGTCCAAGCTTCATCTCCTGCTTGAATAAATGCCAGGTTAAAACGACAACCATAGATAGCGGTAGCAATATAGTCATTAGGATACGAAGCAGGGTCAACTAACAATGTAGCCTTTGCAACTTCAAGCTCAACCTCAGGAGGAACTGCATCAATCTCGTATAAGATCTCACCATCACTATCACCGCCATTTTCATGAGGAGGTTCGAATTCTAAGCGGTCCATTATTAGAGGAAGCTCAATGGTGGCGCCGGATTCATTAGAGTTACGCCCAAGGATTCTTCCACAATAAATAGCCAACCATGTAAGGAACCAGAAACCCTCTTTCTGTAAGGCACCCGTAACTAAAAACCATATAGCTTCTTATGAGTGATGCTATATAGACTACGTCTTTTGTCGCTATTATCTTTCGAAGGCACCATCAAGAATGGAACTTGTCTAAAAAACTTATTTTGAATGAATTTAAGTTTGTTGTCCATTGCCACACAATGCCATGGTTTGCAAACCGCACCAAATCGAACATATTCAAAAACGAAACCAACTTGTCCAGAATCATATTCGATAAGTTCTTTGGCAGGTATGCCAAATCTGACTCCTCCATTGAACTCATCGTGTTTATCTCGCTAATAGCACTGCAATGTCAATCAAAGAATCTATATAATCACAATACATTATATCTGCAATACTCAATACTCAATTCGAATGGGTTTACAATTTTAAACTAATTGATTCACAAAAAAACAAAAACAATAAAACTTGCTAGATATAGTATGAATTAGTCATTGGTGCAATACCTCTTTCATCATACACTGAAGATAACCGATTTGCTACTAACAAATTCGAAAAAACTATTCTAATAAAATTCATTTTCAATATTAAAATCTAATTGAGCCACTACCAAATCCAAATCCCATAAAAACTATATATATTGTGAATATGAACAATCAAAAAAAATTACCTCAAGGCAGCAATATTATTTCATCTTTATATGAACATATATATTTACTAATCAGGAATTAAATGATTATACATATACATATATATATATATATATATATATATATATATATAGTATGCATATATAAGTTCCGGAATATATATATACACACAAGTAGTTCACACCAATCGCTTGAAAAGGAGATATATTAGGGTTATACATCATATGAATATGAATACATGACCATATAATAGTAAATTCGGCTAACAAAGTAGGCAAAAGCAGAATAAGAATATACACAAAGGTTGGAGCTTAAAATAAGGGAAAAGATCAACTCTTCTTTTCTATTTTCAACTCAAAAAACTAGAACACCTTCTGAATAGCGAGGAAAGGACTCAGTTGTTTTTTAAGCATTAAACAGATCAAAGGACCAACTGAAATGCAAAGAAATGTTGTTGTACTAAATCACCACTTCACTATTTGAGTATATAAATTTTTGAAATATAGTTTGCATTTTGAAATTGCAGTTTAGGCCTCTGCTAAGTTGTAGGGGAGGAGGAACCTATATAGTTAAATTTTAAATGGTCCCAAGTACTTAATTTTTTTCCTTCTTTTATCTAATTTACCAATTAAGGAAAAGTTATGAAATTAACATAACCACATAAAGCTCAAATTAGTGGATTCAGAAACTGTATTAGGCATACTGCTAATGATTATTGCCATTGGTAATTAAAGGCTAACACTCATGCCAACATGCAATTGCAGAATCCAATAAATGGAGATTTGCTTATAGTCCAACTGAGAGATCAAAACTTATTCACCCAAATATACAATAATTGTTGCATCAAGTTTACACCAAAATAAGAATCACTTAACCAACTTCATTTAAGATTTATCACTAACAATCTATGCTTTCAAAAATCAACATCAGGTAAGAGCACCTACTTTGTGAAACACAGCTGATCAGATTACTTTGTTATAAACTGACTTCACATCAGTGATCAGTGTGTTTATGATCTGCATAATTGTGCAGAATTGTCTGCAATAAGAATCATATACAGAGGCATTTGACCAGTGCAGACAAACTTACCCTGGTAACTAAAACAGACAAAAAGAAGGGCATTTCTAGACCAAATCCAAAAATAGACTGCGTTAGTCCACAGGACACCTTTTGAGGTTACTCAACATGTTCTAATTTTTCTTCTATTAGATACAAAACCGGAAAATTCTACCAAATATGTGCAACAAAACAGAATTTAGAAACCATGCCAAACCAATGGTTATGTTATGACCTGCATTACTTGTCAGCAGATCATGTCGATTGCAGGGCACTAAGCTTCCTTGGTGTATGCATCCAACTTTTATCAAATTCTATTTACCAGGAGAAAAGGAGGTGAACTCCATGTACAAGATTCCATCCTAAAAAAATATCTATTATCCTCCTCATCGGAATAACTTCAGAATGTCCTTGGCATTATTCCAAAACATCAAAACATGTGTTGTAAAGCAATCTCAAACCGACTCTAAATGTGTTTAAAAAAACGTTTTTAGGCAGTTAAAAAGCAATCTCAAACCGACTCTAAATGTGATTGAAAATGCCGATTCAAGAATCAAGCTCGATAAATAGGTAAGACTCAGTCCAAAAGTATCGAGGGACATACTGTCCAAGGTTTGGTCCAGTAGTCTCTTTATTTGTTAATTTTATTTAGACTTTATTTTTTTAGGATTTTTTAATTTAATTTTGTTATAAGTAAATAAGAAGGACATTAGAAATCAAGTGGGTTCCTCGAAGTACAAAGTTAAATACATGAAACAATGTTATATAATTTAAATTATATACAAAATTTTCTATTTCTATTACTAGGGCTATGTGTTTTTCTTAGGTAGCTAATCATGCAAAAGAACACTTTTTCAGCTTACACGTTGCCACAAAGCATATTTGGACTCTTGTTTCCAACCATAAAGATAACCTTTGGGCTCAATGGGTGAGGACTCGATTGGTTCGGGATAGATGTTTTTTGGACTATGAGCATTCCACAAGCTTGCTCTTCTGGGTAAATGAAAAACAAAACCAGAATTTACAACATACAGCCTCAGTACCAAGAAAACATGTCAATTCATTCATATATATGGATGTGCGCACACACACACACACACACATATATATATATAGAGAGAGAGATAGAGAGAGAGCACTTGTTAGCTGGCCAGCATTTACCTTTGATGCTGCAGACAAAGACTCATTCTACCCATTTTTCCTCTAACAGCTTAAAGCAATCACTGAATGTGACTGACTGCAGTGATCCTTTATAACACAGTAAATTTTTTTTTTTTTGATAAGTAACTTTATGACAGTAAATTACTGAATGTGACCGACTGCGGTGATCCTTTACGTGGTGAGGACTCTTTTTTCCAACCATAAAGATAACCTAAGACGTTTACATCAATTGTTAGCTGGCCAGCATTTACTGTTGATGCTTTTAATTCAGATTTGAGTTCCAATAGCTGCTGCTTATGATTCATAATCAACCACATGCATTTATTTATTTAGTGCTAAAAATACATTATGGAAAATATGTTTCATTGGGAGATGGAAAGAGAGGTTTGTACAATTCAGGAAAAATAAAAGAGGCTTGAACAAGCTGCTAAATCAGCTCTAATACACACATGTTTTTATACAATATACATGTTTAAAATTCACGAATTAAAAGGACTATTATCCTATTATTATTTCAGTAAGATGAAGGACATCTCCCTCTTAATTCACGAATTAAAATCCACTCTAATACCAAGGCAAGGAAGCGCAAATTGGCTATGTAGCAAGTTTTGTTACTTTAGCACACAGTAGGCTCCAACAACACAACATGCCCTTCGAAAGATTTAAAAATGACAGGTTCAATAGGCTTGAAACTGCTTGGCCTGCAGCTTCTTCACTTCCTGACCAAAAATTGACTTAACATAGTTGAATCTTAGCAGTTTGCCTAAAATATTGAAGCAAATCTCACCAAATTTTCCCACCCCTACCAAGCCAAAAACAAGAAAGAAAGGTATTTAGCTTACTTCAGGGAAACCAGATTTATTTTTTCTCTCTTTCAATTCTTAAAATGCCAAGAATGCTTACAAAAACCATAAAAATCATGTAGCACAATTTCCATTTCATTTCACAACAACCAAACAAAGAAATAGAAAATCAACTGCAGGAGATCAAATTTTCACACCTTATCGCCCCACAAGAACTTCAATAGCTGAGCCCTAATCGAACACATGCATTGTTAAGAACTTCAATAGCTGAGCCCTAACCGAACACAGTTGAGCTTCAATAGCGGCTTCAGAAAATCCCACGCTAATTCTGGGTTTTTCCAGTAGATAAACTGCTGCCATATAGTTTGAGAATTCTCAGCAATTATGACTGCTTAAGCTGCTACAAAATGTCTACAAAATGGCAAAAATAATAATAATAATAATGCTGTATCAATACAAATATAAAAAATATATAAAACAGTAGCTAGTTAACATGTTACGGGCAGAAAATAAACAAATAATTATTGAGATGAATCTAGAAACTTCTTAGTTTGATGTCCAATCAAATGATCAAAACAACTACAAAACATTGAAGCCCTACTAACAGGGTAACATGATGTCTATTCCATTAAATTTCAAAATGATATAAACTCAGTTCCCAACAACTTCAAAGAAAATTTGAATTAGGGAGCCATTATTCCAAAATATGTAATATAAAGTAATTTAAGTGCCTCACATCCTAACAAATAGATTAAACCATAAGGAAATAGAAAAAGATAATAAAATTCTAGACAAAAAAAATTGGCTATTAAAAACACAAAAAAAAAAAAAAAAATTAAAAGCTAACAATGGTTCTGCCATTCATTTTATTAAATGCATAATTTTCATTTTTTTTTTTTTTTTTTTTTTGGAAATTGAAGCAAAAACACACTCATTATCCGTAATATGTCCTAGTGGGACTAAAACTCTCCACCTCCCCTTTTGGTTCAGGCTAAGGAATGTGTGTGGGTGGGGGTGTTTGGGGGGGAGAGAGATTGTACCACTGGGCTAGAGGCCCTTTGGTTGTGAAGTGCTTAAGTTGTTACCATAGACACCTCAACAAAAATAAGTGTCATGCAAAGAACACAAGAAGCATTAGTAACTACATCAATAGAAAATAGAAATGGTTTTAACTCTAAACTACTAAAAAGTCACAAGCGCAATAGTGTTCTTTGTGCTAGTTATAGATTACCGTGAAAGCTAGAATATTAGAAAAAGAATTCATCTAAATATTACAATACTTTCATATTTTCATCCGACATTGCTAGTGATAGCGACTAATATTGAGTCTTAACTTGGTACCACATCAACACCTTTATAATGAGACTGAACATCATAAGTTAAAGAGATGACAATAGGCACATCACAAGTTAAAGAGATGACAATAGGCCACTCAATAAAAAAATCTACACACAGTTTGTCTCACTTTTCTATTTTCAGCTCAAAAGACTAGAACACCTTCTGAATAGTGACGAAAGGACTCAGTTGTTTTTTAAGCATTAAACAGATCAATGGACTCACTGAAATTCAAAGAAATGTTGTTGTACAGAATGACCATTTCGCTATTTGAGTTTATAAATTTTTGAAAAATAGTTTGCACTTCGAAATTTCAGTTTAGGCCTCTGCTGCATTGCAGGAGACGAGGAACCTATATACTTAAATTTAAATGGTCACAGGTACTTTTTTTTTTTGGCAAATTACACAAACCACCCCCGAGGTTTCCATCTCTTGCATTCGGATAGAAGTTGGCACAATAAGTTGGTCAACTACCCTTCTAGTTTTATTGACTTGACAGATGACCTTGAACATGAGGGGTAAAAAAATATTTTGACAAAAATAACCTTCTTTATTTGAAATTACTATTTTTAATGTTTAAATTATTTTAATAATAAAAATAAAAAATATATCTCAAATAGTAAAATGACAACATAGTCCACACTTATTAGGGATTTCATAAGACTCGCACCATCTCTCATCAACCACGGTTCCTCCACCATCTCTCATCAACCACGGTGCCGCCACCGCCACCATCTCTCTGTATCCACTGCCACAACCACCATCTCGTCGAATTGTTCCACCTCTTACCACCATTACTCATCACCACCACCATCCACAACTAGGGCTACAACCACCCCCAAATTTTTCTTCTTCCCTTTCTTGCACACACACACATATATACATATATACAGAGAATTACTCATCACCACCACCGTCCACAACTAGGGCTACAACCACCCCTAAATTTTGCTTCTTCCCTTCCTTGCACAAACACATATATATACATATACACAGAGAAATGAAATTGCTTCTTCCCTACCCACGCGAAATTACCGGTGGCGAAGAGATCGAAGATCTATGTTCACCGCAATTGTCGAAATTGTTGGCATCACCAAGCAAATCTTTATTGCCACTGCAATCGTCGATCATGCCTCTAATTCGCGAGCGGTGGTGGTGGTTCTGATTGTTGGTGGTGATAGCGGTGGTGGGTTTCGCTGATTCTTGAGCAGTGGTGGCTTTTTCCTCTGATCTCGTCGCTTCTGATCAACGGCAATGGTGGTGGCTGCTTCTAATTGTTGCTGGCGATAGCGGTGGTATGGTGGGCTTCTCATGAAGGGGGCGGTGATGGTGGTAGGTGGTGTTAGGACAGAGAGGGTGTGTGAGGGATAGAGATAGGGACATAGACAGAGGGTACGGTGGGTTATAGAGGGTTTGAGTGGCAAAAATTAAACTAGCCAATACACAATATTCTTTATTTTTTTCATTAAAAACAAATACTTTAATTTTAAGGTCAAAAATGTAAATTTATATTAATCCCTGTGGTCAAACGGTCAATATGAACCACTCTGTTATATTGGTATAACTTCTATCCTAATGAAAGAGATGGAAACCTCGGGGGTTGTTGGTGTAATTTGCCCCCCCCCCCCCCCCCCCCCCCCCCCCCCTCTTCTTTTATCTAATTTACCAATTAAGGAAAAGCTCTGAAATTAACATGACCATATAAAGCTCAAATTAGTGGAGTCCATAATTGTGTTAAGTATACTGAGAATGATTTTTGCCACTTTAGTAAAAGGCTAAAATTCATGCCAACATGCAATTTCATAATCCAACAAATGGAGACTTGCTTCTACTCCAAGAGAGAGAACAAAACTTATTCACACCCAAATAAATAATAATTATTGCATTTTCTCAGTGCCTGCATCATGTTTACACCAAAATAAGAATCACTAAACCAATTTCTAGAAGATAAGGAAAAGTATAAATAAAAAAGGAAGAATATCAGCTATAAGGATTTATCAATCTATATAACAATCTATGCTTTCAAAAAGCAACATCAGATAAGAACACCTAATGAGTACACATCAGTGTGTTTATGAGCTGCATAATTGTGCAGATTTGTCTGCAATAAGAATCATGTTGAAGGATATATGAAAGTTGCCCCTTTAACAGCTTAAGCTTTTGGAGTAGATGGTTGCTAACATTGTATCAGAGCCAAAGGTCTCGGGAGTTCAAACCTCACCGTCACCCTAATTAAAAATTTTTTTGAAAAATACGTGTTGGACCAAAAAGAAGGCCACACGTGAGGGGGCATGTTGAAGGATATATATATAAAAGTTGCACCCTCTCTAACAGCTTAAGCTTTTGGAGTACATGGTTGCTAACAAATCATATATAGAGGCATTTGACCCCTACAGACAAACTTACCCCGGTGGCAGAAACAGATAAAAAGAAGGGCATAACTAAACAAAATCCGAAAAATACTGTGTTATCCACAGGACACCTTTTAAGGCTACTCAAGATGTTCTAATTTTTCTTTTATTAGATACAAAACTGGAAAACCAATGGTGTATGCTTCTGACCTGCATTACCCATCAACAGATCATGTCGATTGCAGGGCACTAAGCTTCCCTGGTGTATGCTTCTTTTACCAGGAGAAAAGGAGGTGAACTCCATGTACAAGACTCTATCCTAACAAAATATCTATTATCCTCACCATCGGAATAACTTCTCTTGGCATTATTCTAAAGCATCAAAACACACGTGTCATAAAGTCAAGTATGATGAGATAAATTTTCTTCCAAGATTGATAACTCCTAGATGTTGCACTTGTTTATAATAGATACATTAAATGAAATATGTACGTATGAAAGTGTAAATTTCATTTAACATAAAGAAAAACCAGATCAATCATTTTTTCTCCTCATTCTCTCTCTTTCAACTCTTCAAATGCAAATAGTTCATGCAAAAACCATAAACATCAGATAGCACAATTTCCATTTCATTTCAAAACAACCAGACAGAGTAATGGAAAATCTTGTGCAGGAAATCAAAATTTCTTACCTTATTGCCCACAGGAAATCAATCTGCCCAAATCGAACACATGCATTGATGAGAACTCCAACAGTTGAGCCCCAATCAAACACAGTTGAGCTTCAATAGCTGCTTTAGGTTCTGATTTGAGATCCAATAGCTGCTTATCCTTCATAATCGACTACATGCATCGATTAATTTCAGCCCTTAACAGCACAAATATGGCAAATATATTTTTAAGAGGGATAGAAATAGAGTTCAGTACATGCTGATAAATCAGCTCTAATACATACATATGTAGAGAGAGAAAGAGTTGACATTGATTTTCCACTTACAGGACAATGTATTTCAATGAAAATTCTGTATTCTTGCTATGAAGTGAGAGGAGAGAGAGCTAGAGAGAGAATGACTACAAAAGAGAAATAAGAGTAATCTATGAGAGAAGATAAGAGTCAAAGAGACATTCTAAGAGAGAGAGAGAGACTGGGAGAGACTAGAGAGAGAGACATTCTAAGAGTAATGAAGCCTCTATTGTTTGAGAGCCAAAAATAGGTAGCTTTGCCAGTGAGTTTCTTTTCTTCATAGCATTCGCCAGAGGTCCCTAAATACTTATAAATTTATTGAAAAGTGTTACTCAATAGGACAATGATGTGCTTCGAATACCAAGGGACAATGCCATTTCATATTCAGACTCATCACATGAAGAGAGGGAAATAGTGTGTGTGAGAGAGTGTTTTTAGCCCTAGATTTTGATTTTTGAGTGCCTCAAAACACTGTTATTCATAAAAGAAAGAAAGAGTTGTTACAAGATATTATCAAGGTTTTTAATTCGGATGTTATGATTTTTTTTTCAAAATAATTCGAATCTCATTAGAAGCATGTTAGTGAAAGCAGAGATGATAATATGAGCAAAGAAATACATATTAATAGAGCATGCTAGTGAATTTGACTACTATATGTTAAAAATAATGTGCAAATTTAACAATATATATACAACAATATTTAAAAACATGATTTTCTCTTTGATAACGAGGAATGAAGTTTGGGTTGTGTGCCAGTTCCATGTCAAATTGATAAAAGAAAAAGGTTGCCATGCATGCATGATTTAATCATAAGATATTTAATAAATATGAATTGGATTTTTTTTTTTTTTTTTTTTTTTTGAAGGCTGTTTTAGTATATAATGCATTATCTTCAATTTTGTATACACCCTATCATTCAAGTTTTCACCGGCAAATAGATATACCTCCCTTTTAATTTATAGTTGGGTGTTTATGTGTATCACGTTAGACTAACGTGAATATCTTAGTGTAAAGATTACATGCAAAGTACAAAATTCGGTTATTTAACATAACCTATGGTTTAGGATTGGTTAAAAATGGTTAATAAACTGCATTGGATTACAATACATGCGTGAATGGGGATGTGTTGGTTTGACCATACAACGCAACCCCGTGTAAGAACTCGTTTGGCATTGCAGTTAGAAAAAATAAGCGCTTTCACAACTGGAGCGGTAGAAAAATTACATTTGGTGAAAAATATAGTAGGTGTTTGATGACATGTACTCTTTATAATTAAATTATTTTTAAATTTGTTTGGTAATAATATTTTTAAAACACTTGTATTGCTAATTTTACAATAATATCTTTTAATACAAAATTAACTATATTTGATATATAATTTTAACTTTATAAAAGAATGGCTGAGATTGTCTTTGTAAAAAATAAAAAAAGGATAAAATTGTCTAAGAAAAAATAATTACCTAAAATATACAACCTATACTCAAAACGCGATTTGAAAAGTTCATAAGTCTAACTTCATTCAAAATCTCTAGTAAACTAAAATTGGTAACCATTAAATACCAAAAAGGCCTATATGTAATTTAATTTTTTAAAATAAAAACGTTTTTTAGGCAATTAAAAATCAACCTCAAACCGACTCTAAATGGGATTGAAAGTGCCGATTCAAGAATCAAGCTCGATAAATACGGTCAGACTCGGTCCAAAAGTATCGAGGGACATACTGTCTAAGGTTTGGTCCAGTAGTCTTTTAAAAAGTGTTGTACGGACCTGAGGATGCTTTCACAAAATTTTTGTTAATTTTATTTAGACTTCGTTTTTTTAGAATTTTTTAATTTAATTTTGCTATAAGTAAATAAGAAGGACATTAGAAATCAAGTGGGTTCCTCCAAGTACAAAGTTAGATACATGAAACAATGCTATATAATTTAAATTATATACAAAATTTTCTATTTCTATTTCTATTACTAGGAATACGTGTTTTTCTTAGGTAGCTAATCATGCAGAAGAACACTTTTTCAGCTTACACGTTGCCACCACAGCATATTTGGACTCTTGTTTCCAACCATAAACATAACCTTTGGGCTCAATGGGTGAGGACTCAATTGGTTCGGGATAGATGTTTTTTGGACTATGAGCTTTCCACAAGCTTGCTCTCCTAGGTTTTTTGGACTCAATTGATTCTGGGTTTTTTGGACTCAATTGCTCTTCCAGGATATATTTCTGGGTTTTCCCAGCAGATAAACTGCTGCCATATAGTTTCAGAATTCTCAGCAATTATGACTGCTTAAGCTGCTACAAAATGTCTACAAAATGCAAAAAAATATAATGATGTATCAATACAAATATAAAAAATATATAAAACAGTAGCTAGTTGACATGTTACTGGCAGAAACTAAAAACATAATTACTGAGATGAATCTAGAAACTTCTTAGTTTGATGTCCACTCAAATGATCAAAACAACTAAAAAAATTGAAGCCCTACTAACAGGTAACATGATGTCTATTCCATTAAATTTCAAAATGATATAAACTCAGTTCCCAACAAGTTCAAAGAAAATTTGAATTAGGGAGCAATTATTCCAAAATATGTACTATAAAGTAGTTTAACTGCCTCACATCCTAACATATAGATTAAACCATAAGGAAATAGAAAAACATAAGGGGAAAGTCTGAAAAACACCCCTGTGGTTTTCAATTTGTGCGAATTACACCCTTTTTGTTCGATTTGTTTATATAAATCCATACTAGATATAAAAATGTGCAATTAAGCACCTCCGGTGAGAATTCCGGTGAAAATTCCGGTGAGTTGGTCATGTGCATGGCACATGACCATTTTAAACCCTTTATTCCCAAAATTGCCCTTTTATATTTCTTTACTACCCCTCACCATATATATATATGTATATATTTGTATATCGTATTTTTTTATAGTTTGCAGTTAGAGCGCCCAATTGATGACGAGTCCTTGTGGACTTCACCATTAGAGCTTGACATGGTGAGAACATGCCATTCTTACTCGAACACAACTGAAAACCACAACCCAATTAATATTACTAACATCATAAAGAGAAGAAGAAATACCCGTTTTTATGTTATGTTATGTAACTGGAAAGAGGTTGGGAGGAGAGAAAGTGGTTTACCTGAGAAGGGGTGACAGGAGAGAGATTAGAGGCAGCCATGGAGCATAAAGGGTAAGTTCAGAGTTGAGAACGAGAATAGAGATGGAGGCAATTAGGGAGGCTGAAATGATTTGCCCTAAAAAAAATTCATAAAAAATTTCACCAAATAGGATTTAGTTTGCAAAACAAGAATTATAGACCTTGATTAGTTGATTTAGAAAAAAAATTAAAACAAAACCCATAAATACAAGTTAGCAATTGCACCGGGGGGGCGGGGGGGGGGGGGGGGGGGGGGGGGGGGAAGCTTGAGAGTTGAGAGACAGCGTGAAGCTTGCGAACGGTGAACCCGAACTGGAACAGCAGGCAATGGAAACTGAAAAACATGGGTTTTGATTTTTTGAACAATCCAAAATGATATGCCGATATGGGTTTTGATATAGGTAATAGGTTTTGAACTTTTGATTCTTGCCGACAGATAGATAAACTGAAATATATGGGTTCTGAACTTCTGATTCTCGTAGATTTTGTAGTTTGTAGTTGCAGAGAGAGGGCAAGTTTAGAGTCGAGAACGAGAATAGAGATGGAGTATTGATAGAGGGCTATTTTAGTCCCATTTTTTGGTTATTTTATTATTATTTTTAAATCATAGATAGAGGGCTATTTTAGTCTTTTTGTAGCTCCGGTACCGGTCAATAGAGGTCAACGCCCAAAATGCACTAATCCAAACCATTTTTAAAGTATAGGAGAGGTGAACAAACAATGGGGGGTTATACGCACAATATCGATCTCACAAGGGTGTAAAGCGCACGCGAGCCAAAGCATAACAAAATTCTAGACAACAATTCTGCATGTGTTATCCTATTCTTCAAGCAACCAGAAAATAGACTATTAAAAACACAAATAAAATAATAATAATAATAAAATAAAATAAAGCTAACAATGGTTCTGCCATTCATTTTAACAAATGCATAATTTACTCTTCTTTTTCTTTTTCTTTTTCTTTTTTTTTTTTGTTTGGAAATTAAAGCAAAAACGCACTCATTATCCGTAATTTGTCCCTAGTGGGACTAAAACTCTCAACCTCCCCTTTTGGTTCAGGCTAAGGAATGTGTGTGTGTGGGTGGGGGTGTTTGGGGGAGAGAGAGATTGTACCATTGGGTTAGAGGCCCTTTGGTTGTGAAGTGCATAAGTTGTTACCATAGACACCTCAACAAAAATAAGTGTCATGCAAAGAACACATGAAGCATTAGTAACTACATCAATAGAAAATAGAAATGGTTTTAACTCTAAACTACTAAAAAGTCACAAGCTCAATAGTGTTCTTTGTGCTAGTTATAGATTACCGTGAAAGCTAGAATATTAGCAAAAGAATTCATCTAAATATTACAATACTTTCATATTTTCATCCGGCATTGCTAGTGATAGCGACTAATATTGAGTCTTAGCTTGGTACCACATCAACACCTTTATAATGAGACTGAACATCATAAGTTAAAGAAATGACAATTGGCCACTCAATAAAAAAATCTAGACACAGTTTGTCTCACTTTTCTATTTTCAGCTCAAAAGACTAGAACGCCTTCTGAATAGTGAGGAAAGGACTCGGTTGTTTTTTAAGCATTAAACAGATCAATGGACTCACTGAAATTCAAAGAAATGTTGTTGTACCAAATGACCATTTCGTTATTTGAGTTCATAAATTTTTGAAAAATAGTTTGCATTTTGAAATTTTAGTTTAGGCCTCTGCTACACTGCAAGAGACGAGGAACCTATATACTTAAATTTAAATGGTCACAAGCACTGTTTATTCCCTCCCACCCACCCCCCCAAATCTAATTTACCAATTAAGGAAAAGCTCTGAAATTAACACGACCATATAAAGCTCAAATTAGAGGAGTCCATAATTGTGTTAAGTATACTGAGAATGATTTTTGCCGTTGGTAGTAAAAGGCTAAAATTCATGTCAACATGCAATTTCATAATCCAATAAATGGAGACTTGCTTATAGTCCAAGAGAGAGAACAAAACTTATTCACACCCAAATAAACAATAATTATTGCATTTTCTCAGTGCCTGCATCATGTTTACACCAAAATAAGAATCACTAAACCAATTTCTAGAAGATAAGGAAAACTATAAATAAAAAAGGAAGAATATCAACTATAAGGATTTATCAATCTATATAACAATCTATGCTTTCAAAAATCAACATCAGATAAGAACACCTAATGAGTACACATCAGTGTGTTTACGAGCTGTAAAATTGTGCAGAATTGTCTGCAATAAGAATCATGTTGAAGGATATATATAAAAGTTGCACCCTCTAACAGCATAAGCTTTTGGAGTAGATAGTTTCTAACATCGTATCAGAGCCAAAGGTCTCGAGTTCAAACCTCACCGTCACCCTAATTAAAAAAAAAAAAAAATTCAAAAACACTTGTTGGACCAAAAAGAAGGCCACGTGACAAAATCCGAAAAATACTGTGTTATCCACAGGACACCTTTTAAGGCTGCTCAAGAAGTTCTAATTTTTCTTTTATTAGATACAAAACTGGAAAACCAATGGTGTATGCTTTTGACCTGCATTACTTATCAGCAGATCATGTCGATTGCAGGGCACTAAGCTTCCTTGGTGTATGCTTCTTTTACCAGGAGAAAAGGAGGTGAACTCCATGTACAAAACTCTATCCTAACGAAATATCTATTATCCTCACCATCGGAATAACTTCTCTTGGCATTATTCCAAAGCATCAAAACACGTGTCGAAAGTCACGTATGATGAGATAAATTTTCTTCCGAGATTGATAACTCCTAGATGTTGCACTTGTTTATAATAGATACATTAAATGAAATATGTATCTATGAAAGTGCAAATTACATTTAACATAAAAGAAAACCAGATTAATCATTTTTTCCCCTCAATCTTTCTCTTTCAACTCTTCAAATGCAAAGAGTTCATACAAAAAGCATAAACATCATCTAGCACAATTTCCATTTCATTTCAAAACAACCAGACAGAGAAATAGAAAATCTTGTGCAGGGAATCAAAATTTCTTACCTTATTGCCCGCATGAAATCAGTCTACCCAAATCGAACACATGTTCATTGATGAGAACTCCAATAGTTGAGCTCCAATGGCTGCATATCCTTCATAATCGACTACATGCATAGATTAATTTTAGCCCTTTTTTATAATTAATTAATTTTAGCCCATAGCAGCACAAATATGGCAAGTATATTTTAAAGAGGGATAGAAATAGAGTTCAGTATATGCTGATAAATCAGCTCTAATAAACACATATGTAGAGAGAGAAAGAAAGAGTCGACATTGATTTTCCACTTACACGACTATGTATTTCAATGAAAATTCTGTATTCTAACTATGAAGTGAGAAAAGAGAGAGAGCTAGAGAGAGAATGACTACAAAAGAGAAATAAGATTAATCTATGAGAGAAAATAGAGTCAGAGAGACATTCTAAGAGATAGATAGAGACTGAGAGAGACTAGAGAGAAGGGTTTAGTGCAGGAAAAATAAGTTTCACATGAGTACTTTGGGTAATTAGAGGAAAGTTAATAAAATAGTTTGAGCAGCAGTCCAATTATCTCTTAGGCAGCGATTAGAGAAAAAGGCTAGCATAAAGGGACTCCTGTATATTTACCGAAAGAAAGAGGGAAAAAAAAAAAAAGAAAGAATAAGTCAGGCTCCTGCAGCAGTTTATTTAGATCGCTACTATACATCCGCCATCATTTCCTCATTAACTTGCAGCGAGGATATGTGATGAATTCAGTGCTAAGATTCTTGTATGCAAAGAGAACAATAAATGAAAGCAAAACTCAGAATTCATTGAACAAGTCAGGCTCATAGTAAATTTCTTGTGTTACAGCAATTATCCAGATCGCCGGATGAAAATTCTCACTGCAGGAATCACTCAATCTAGCAATCACACATGCACAACACCATCTTTCATGCACGGAAAAGTTTTTGGAAAAGGTTACTAGCAGATCCAGGACATACAAGGGATGAGGGACTAATTTAAAGAAAGAGAGAGAAAACATGCGTAATATATAAATAATAATAATAATAATTGATCATTGGAGGTACAGCCTGAAAAGCCACTAATCATTTGTTAGGAAGGTGGTTACTCAAGTTGTTCAGTTTTGGCCTCTGCAACTTTCATCATTAACGGAATGATATCAGAAAGACCAAGGTCTGAACTTAAAATTAGCTCTAAACATCTAAACCAGATACCAAATCTAAAGCAGCAACCCAACGCATCGGTAACTGAGATATTATATATAAATTTGGCAAAGCATATTAATAAAGAATATCTAAGCAATCTTCACATGCTTTAAAGAACTACTGTGACAGCCATACAAATAATAATAATTAAAAAAAAAAAGGGGAATCAGTTTTGGCATCACAAGTGAACACGACTACTCATTAATCAATCGCTCAACAATATGCTAAACATTGATCAGCAATAGATTTACATTCAACCGAACTCAAACATTGATCAGCAATAGATTTACTTTCAACCACAATCAGATCCATTATTATCAAGCCCTCCAGAGTAAATTCAAGACATGCCAGGGATTTTAAAAAATAAAAAACCCAAAGAACTACATAGGTTTCCTTCATGAATGTCATCCAATTCTTTAGTACATGAAAAGGATTCCACATTTGATCATGAAAAGGATTCCACATTTGACCAAACTTAATTATAAACAGGCAACCTCAGGAAACTACCATGTAACTACCAATCAAGCAAGGCTACTAGGCGACAACCCGGCAAGGCTCTTTCATCATACACTGAAGGTAACAAATTGTGACAAGTTTGAGAAATGTCATCGACACACCAAACACTAGAAACAAAGATTGACGAAAAATATACACAAACTACGAAAAAAAACAGAAAAAATAAGATAGAGAGAGTTGTCAGGATTCACCATTTTTGCACGACAAGATTTGGTTCTCTCTTGCGATTAGGGTTTAAGAATGTCGAAGCGTAAACCCTAAAAACTATGGCAGCCCCAGTCGTGCTCGAGAAAAGTGTGATTATATATTAGGTTGTTAAATGCTTGGAGACACCATCGTCTGTTGTTGACATTCTACCAAACGGCACCATATATATCAAGCCTAGTTACTCATGTGCTAATGTGCTTTTCTAAGGTCTACCCCCAAGGAAAATCTAAACCCTAGCCCACCGTGCGTGTAGCCCAACCCACAAAAGTAATTTGGATAATAAAAAATAAGTTTATCACTATAGGCCTCACTGAAATTCATTTATCACTATACATTTATCACTCTAATGAGGAAAGGACTCAATTGTTTTTTAAGCATTAAACAGATCAATGGACTCACTGAAATTCAAAGAAATGTTGTACCACATGACCATTTCACCATTTGAGTTTATAAATTAGAGATAGTTCGCATTTTGAAATTTCAGTTTAGACCTCTGCTAAATTGCAGGGGAGGAAAAATCTATACACTTAAATTTAAATGGTCACAAGCACTTAATATTTTTCCTTCTTTTACTCACCATCGGAATAACTTCGAAAATACTAAACCAAATCCGAAAATACGCTGCGTTAGTCCACAGGACACCTTTTAAGGCTACTCAACAAGTTCTAACTTTTCTTTTATTCGATACAAAATTGGAAAATTCTGCCAATGCCAAACCAATGGTTACGTTATGATCTGTATTACTTGTCAGTATGTCGATTGCAAGTCACTAAGGTTCCTTGGTGTATGCTTCTAACTTTTATCAAATTCTATTTACCAGGAGAAAAGGAGGTGAACTCCATGGCATTATTCCAAAGCATCAAAACACAAGTGTCGTAAAGTCATGTATGATGACTGATGAGATAAATTTTCTTCTCAGATTGATAACTACTTAGATAACCATATTCACACTAAAGCTATAAAATTGAATTTTAAATGTTGCCCTTGTTTAAATAACTCTACTATCCAACCTATACTACATTAAATGAAATATGTAGTGTAAATTACGATAAACATAAAGGAAAACTAGATCAATCAATTTTTTTCCCACAATCTCTCTCTCTCAACCCTTCAAATGCAAAGAGTTCATACAAAAACCATAAACATCATCTAGCACAATTTCAATTTTATTTCAAAACAACCAAACAGATAAATAGAAAATCAAATTTTCTCACCTTATTATCCGCAAGAAATCAGTCGGCCCAAATCGAAAGAACTTCCATAGCTAAGCCCCAATCAAACACAGTTGAGCTTCAATAGCTGCTTTAGACTCCAATTTTTTTTTTTTTTTTTTTTTTTGTAAGTAAAAATTTTATAAAAAACGCTCAAAAGGAGAGCGGAACCCAAGGAAACACAAAGGCCAAAAAACGCCTCAAGCCTTCAAAGAGGCCGAAAAAGAAACAATCTCCTCAAAAGATCTATAACCTCTCCCTTAAACCCAACAAAAAAGGTTGGAAATAATAGAGAACTTAAGCATAGAGACAGGAGACAGGCTTCTCCTTTCCATCGAAATATCTCCGATTTCTCTCCAGCCAAATGCACCACTAAATACAAAGAAGAGTAGCCCTCCAGGCATCCTGAATGAGAGCCCCCACTGAAAAGCCTCTCCAAGCCTCAATCAACCCTCTAGTGGAACAAGGCATAACCCAGGGAACCCCAAACAAACCAAGCATCAAAACCCAACAGTCTCTGGCCACAGTGCAATGCAACAAAAGATAATCAACCGTCTCCTCCCCACTCAAGCACAAGTAACAACGATTAATCACCACTTGATTCCTCCTTCTCAAATTATCCTGGGTTAAAATCTTTCCCAAAATAGAAGTCCAAGCAAAGAAGGACACTTTGAGGGGGGCCTTAGAATGCCATATAGACTTCTAAGGGAAAGGCCCCCACCATCAACCGTAAGACACCTAAAAAAAGACCTAACCTTGAACCGACCCTAAGAGTTAGGATCCCAAAGCCAACCATCCGAATCACCATCTGTGATCACCTGGCTATACAAAACCTCCAACAAACGATAAACGTCCTCAATCTCCCAATCCTGAAAGTGCCTCCTAAACTGAACATCTCAAGCCAGTCTCCTGTTATCAAGATAATAACAGTCAACCACCATGGCCTGTATATGAGAAGCAATCCTGAAAAGACGTGGGAAAGAGAGAGCAAGAGAAAACTCCCCACACCAAACATCCTCCCAAAATCTAATCCTCCTACCATCCCTGATCCGAAAGTGAACATGTTTGCAAAAGTCATCCCACCCCTTCCGAATGAAAGTCCAAAGCGCCACCCCCCTAGGACCACGCACCTCAAAAGAATACCACCCTCCGCTGCTCTCCCCAAATTTGCTTGCGATAACTCTCCTCCAAAGCCAATGCCTCTCAACCCCGAACCTCCAAAGCCATTTCCCGAGAAGAGCCTTATTGAAAGGCAATAACCTCCTAAACCCTAAACCTCCACATCGAATCGGACAACAAACCTGTTCCCAACGAACCAAATGGTACTTAAACTCCTGTCCTCCCCCCCTCCCCAAAGAAAATTACGCTGCAACCTCTCAATTCTCTCAGCCATAGAAGAAGGGATCTGAAAAAGAGAGATGAAATAAGTGGGGAGGCTAGAAAGGGTGATCTTAATCAGAGTGACCCTCCCACCCTTAGAAAGATACTGCTTCTTCCAACTTGCTAGTCTCTTCTCAAATCGATCCACAACCAGGTCCCAACACCTGACACATCTCGAAGGGACTCCAAGAGGCAACCCTAAGTAAGAAATGGGAAAAAAGACCAGTGCGACATCCAAGAATTTGAGCAAACATCTTAATCTCAGGAACCTCCCCAACCGGAACTAGAACGCTCTTACCAACATCCATCTTGAGCCCAGAAACAACTTGGAACCAAATCAAAACACATCTCAAATATCTCAGTTGAGATGCTTCTGCATCACAAAGAACTAAAGTATCATCCGCAAACATAGTGGGAGATTTCCAACTGACAAGCAACATCTCTGCCCACCCGAAATCCTCTCAAAAACCCCAAATCAATAGCTTTCTTCAACAATCTACTAAGAGCCTCCATCACAAAAAGGAACAGGAAAGGAGAAAGTGGATCCCCTTGCCTCAATCCCCTCGAACTAGCAAAAACCCCCGACGGGGCACCATTCACAAGGGCAGAGAAACGAGCGCTAGAGATACAAAAATGGATCCATCTCCTCCATCTCTCACCAAACCCCATCCTCTCCAAGAAGTAGAGGAGGAAGTTCCAATTCACATGGTCGTACGCCTTCTCAATATCCAGCTTGCACAAAACACTCGGAATCCCACTGCTCAATCTGGAGTCCACACATTCACTAGCAATAAGAACTGAATCCAAAATCTGACGACCTCCCACAAAGGCATTCTGAGAGTCAGAAATGACTCCATCCAGAGCCTTCCTCAACCTAGATGCCAAGACTTTTGTAATCAACTTATAAAAGCAACCCACCAAGCTAATAGGGCAAAAATCCCTAACATCCAGCGCCCCTCCCTTTTTCGGAATGAGAGCAATAAAAGTGGCATTCAAACTCTTATCAAAAGAGCCCTGAGAATGAAAGGCATTGAAAGAACCCATCACCTCCTCTTGAACCACTTCCCAACACTCCAGAAGGAATCTCATTGTAAAACCATCAGGACCTGGGGCTTTATCCCCATTACAGCTCTTCAAAGCGGGCAAAACTTCCTCTTCCGAAAATGGCTCCTCCAAAATAGAGCTCTCCTCACTCGAAATAGAATCAAAATGAAGCCCCGCAAGAAAAGGTCTCCACCCAGACGGTTCAATGAACAACATCGAAAAGTACTCAGCAAAACCTTTACAAATCTCCTCCTCCTTACACAACACCTCCCCATCCACCCGAATCCTCCCAATGTGATTGCCCCTTCTATGAGCATTGGCCAGTCTATGAAAAAACTTCGTGTTATTGTCACCTTCCTTAAGCCACAACGCTCTAGACTTTTACCTCCACGAAATCTCCTCCTATAGGTGCTTATGCTTCATAATCGACTACATGCAATGGTTAATTTTAGTCCTAACAACATAGGTATGGCAAATATTTTTTTAAGCAAGAGTTCGGTACATACTGATAAATTAGCTCTAATACACATATTTATATATGTATAATATGTTTATATGTAGAGAGAGAAAGAAAGAGTTGACATTGATTTTCCAGTTAAAGGACTGGACTACGTATTTCAATGAAAATTCTATATTCTTGCGATGAAGTGAGAGAAGAGAGAGAGCTAGAGAGAGGGTGACTGCAAGAGAGAAACAAGAGTAATCTATGAGAGAAGATAGAGCAATAGAGTAATTCTCAGAGATAGATGATTGTTCTATAAATTTCTTTGGGCTTGAACAGTTTTGTGCGTAGTGCGAGAGAGAGGAGAGACGGGTGTAGAGCAGGAAAGATAAGTTTCACGGAAGAGTACTTCGGGTAACTGGGGGGAAATTAACAAAATAGTTTCAGCAGCGGTCACAATATCTCTTAGGCAGCAATTAAGATAAAAAGGCTGGCATAAAGGGGCTCCTGCAGCGGTTTATTTATACCACTGCTATACATCTACCATCATTTCCTCATTAACTTGCAGTAAGTATATATGATGGATTTAGTGCCAAGATACTTGCCTGCAAAGAGAACAATAGATAAAAGCAAAACTCAGAATTCATTATAAAGTCGGGCTCATAGTACTGACAAAAGAAAATATACATACTTGCAGGAACCACTCAATCTAGCAAACCGCACATACACATGCACGAAAAAGTTTTTGGAAAAGAGTTCATAGCAGATCCGGGACATACAAGAAACCAGTAAACATGTGTTAAACAAGTCGTTCGGTTTTGGCCTCGGCAGCTTTCACCATTAACAGAATGATAGCAGAAGTACCAAGTTGTGCACTGAAATTAGATCTAATCATCTAAACCAGTAACCCAAATCTAAAGAATATATATATAAATTTGGCAAAGCATTTTTATCTTCACATGCTTTAAAGAACTACTGTGACAGATATACAAATAAAAACCTATACAGGGGAATCAATCAAATTATCTGCTGCTGATCAGTTTTGGCATCATAAGTGAAGACGACTACTCGTTAACCGAGTAGCTCAATAATAAGCTATTCATTCATCAGCAATAGATTTACATTCAACCAAACTCAGATCCATTATTATGATCAAGCCCTCAAGAGTAAATCAAGACATGTCAGGGAATTTAAAAAATAAAAAATTCAAACAACTACATAGGCTTACTTCATGAATGTCATCCAATTCTTTAGTACATGAAAAGGAATCCACATTTGACTATACTTAATTACACTCTGGCAACCTCAAGAAATTGCCATACCATGTAACTAGCAAGCAAGGCTACTTGCCTGCAACCCAGCAGATCAAATATAAGAAAAATGTGGTCTAAAGAAAAGAAAATATATATATATATATATATATATATATTCTAGCTCAGGAAATATTTATAATACAAATAAAGAAATGAGAAACAACCACAATAATATTTAATTAAAGGTCTTGCAAGCTTGATCTCACATTTTGATACAACAAGAGATAAAAATAGATTACTTTACCACAAAATAATAAGCAAAAAAAAAAAAACTAAATTAAATTAGATTTGACCAAAAGACAATCCAAAAACGAATTAAGTCTAATACTCATTTTCCTAAAACAGTTGGCACAATCCAAATTGTGGGTGGCATATGGTTATGTGAAGGATGCAACGGGTCCCAATGCTTCCATTCTCTATGTTAAAGATACCAATGTCGCGGCACCCAGATGCGGGATAGTATTCAATGATATTATAATCTTCTGTGTAGAATATTGAATTTGCCTGACATCCGGGCCATTTGGAAGTTGAAACACAAATGGAATGGTTATCTCCCCAAAATAGGGTGTCTCCACCCAAGTTGTTCACTTCAACCTGCATAGGCCAACCTTGCTCAAATTGCTCTAAGAGCAACTTGAAAACCTGAAATCTCTTTGTATCTAATGTAAGTCCAAGCTTCATCTCCTGCCCGAATAAATGCCAGGTTAGAACGACAACCATAGATGGCGGTAACAATATAGTCATTAGGATATGAAGTAGGGTCAACTAACAATGTAGCCTTTGCAACTTCAAGCTCAACCTCAGGAGGAACTGCATCAATCTCGTATAAGATCTCACCATCACTATCACCGCCATTTTCTTGAGGAGGTTCAAATTCTAAGCGGTTCATTATTGGAGGAAGCTCAATGGTGGCGCCAGAAAACGGATTCATTAGAGTTACGCCCAAGGATTCTTCCACAGTAAACAGCCAACCATGTAAGGAACCAGAAAGCCTCTATCTGTAAGGCACCCGTAAATGAAAATCATATAGCTTATTATGAGTGATGCTATATAGACTACGTCTTTTGTCGGTATTGTCTTTCGAAGGCACCATCAAGAATGGAACTAGTCTAAAAAAAACTTATTTTGAATGAATTTAAGTTTGTTGTCCATTGCCACACACTGCCATATTGTCTTTCGAAGGCACCATCAAGAATGGAACTAGCCTAAAATAACTTATTTTGAATGAATTTAAGTTTGTTGTCCATTGCCACACACTGCCATGGTTTGCAAACCGCACCAAATCAAACATATTCAGAAACGAAACCAACTTGTCCAGAATCATATCAGATAAGTTCTTTGGCAGGGATGCCCAATCTGACTCCATCGAACTCATCATGTTTATCTCGCTAATAGCACTGCAATGTCAATCAAAGAATCTATATAATTACAATACATTATATCTGCAATACTCAATTCGAATGGGTTTAAAATCTAATTGATTCACAAAAAAACAAAACATAAAACTTGCTGGATATAGTATGAATTAGTCATTGGTGCAATATCTCTTTCATCATACACTGAAGATAACAGATTTGCTACTAACAAAGTCTAAAAAACTATTCTAATAAAATTCATTTTCAATATTAAAATCTAATTGAGCCACTACCAAATCCAAATCCCATAAAAACTATATATATTGTGAATATGAACAGTCAAAAAATATTACATCAAGGCTGCAATATTATTTAATCTTTATATGAACATATATATTTACTAATTAGGAATTATATGAATTGTATATATATAGTATGTATATAAAAGTTCCGGAATATATATATACACACACAAGTAGATCACACCAATCGCTTATAAAGGAGATATATTAGGGTTATACATCATATGAATATGAATACATGATCAAATAATAGTAAATTCAGCTAACAAAGTAGGTAAAAGTAGAATAAGAATACACACAAAGGTAGGAGCTTAAAATAAGGGAAAAGATCAACTCTTCTTTTCTATTTTCAACTCAAAATACTAGAACACCTTTTGAATAGTGAGGAAAGGACTCAGTTGTTTTTTAAGCATTAAACAGATCAAAGGACTCACTGAAATGCAAAGAAATGTTGTTGTACTAAATCACCACTTCACTGTTTGAGTTTGTAAATTTTTGAAGGATAGTTTGCAATTTGAAATTTCAGTTTAGGCCTCTGCTAAGTTGCAGGGGAGGAGGAACCTATATGGTTAAATTTTAAATGGTCACAAGTACTTTATTTTTTTCCTTCTTTTATCTAATTTACCAAAAAGTTATGAAATTAACATGACCACATAAAGCTCAAATTAGTGGATTCGGTAACTGTATTAAGCATACTGCTAATGATTATTGCCATTGGTAATTAAACGCTAACACTCATGCCAACATGCAATTGCAGAATCCAATAAATGGAGACAAGCTTATAGTCCAACAAAGATCAAAACTTATTCACCCAAATATACAATAATTGTTGCATCAAGTTTACACCAAAATAAGAATCATTTAACCAACTTCATTTAAGATTTATCACTAACAATCTATGCTTTCAAAAATCAACATCAGGAGAGAACACCTACTTTGTGAAACACAGCTGATCAGATTACTTTGTTATAAACTGACTTCACATCAATGTGTTTATGATCTGCATAATTGTGCAGAATTGTCTGCAATAAGAATCATATACAGAGGCATTTGACCAGTGCAGATAAACATACCTTGGTAACTAAAACAGACAAAAAAGAAGGGCATTACTAGACCAAATCCGAATATAGACTGCGTTAGTCCACAGGATACCTTTTGAGGTTACTCAACATGTTCTAATTTTTCTTCTATTAGATACAAAACTGGAAAATTCTGCCAAATATGTGCAACAAAACAGGATTTAGAAACCATGCCAAACCAATGGTTATGTTATGCCCTGCATTACTTATCAGCAGATCATGTCGATTGCAGGGCACTAAGCTTCCTTGGTGTATGCTTCTAACTTTTATCAAATTCTATTTACCAGGTGAAAAGGAGGTGAACTCCATGTACAAGATTCCATCCTAACAAAATGTCTATTATCCTCACCATCAGAATAACTTCTGAAAGTCCTTGGCATTATTCCAAAGCATCAAAACACGTGTCGTAAAGTCATGGATGATGAGATAAATTTTCTTCTTAGATTGATAACTCCTAAATGTTGCACTTGTTTATACTACATACATTAAATGAAATATGTCTGTATGACAGTATAAATTACAATAAACATAAAGGAAAACCAGATCAATCATTTTTTTTCCTCAATCTTTCTCTTTCAACTCTTAAAATGCAAAGAGTTCATACAAAAACCATTAACATCATCAAGCACAATTTTCATTTCATTTCATTTCAAAACAACCAGATAGAGAAATAGAAAATCATGTCCAGGAACTCAAATTTTCTTACCTTATGCCTGCAGGAAATCAGTCGGCGCAAATTGAACACATCCATTGATGAAAACTTCAATAGTTGAACCCCAATCAAACATAATTGAGCTTCAACAGCTGCTTTAGATTCCAATCCAAGCTCCCATGGCTGCTTATGCTTCATAATCGACTACATGCATTGATTAATTTTAGCCCTTAAAAGCACAGGTATGGCAAATATATTTTAAAGAGAGAGAGAGAAACAGAGTTCGGTACATGTTGATAATTGATCTCTAATACACATATTTATATATGTATAATATGTTTATATGTAGAGAGAGAAATGAAGAGTTGATATTGATTTTCCAGTTACAGGACTATGTATTTCAATGAAAATTCTATTCTTGCTATGAAGTGAGAGGAGAGAGAATGGCTCCTAGAGAGAAATAAGAGTAATTTATGAGGGAAGACAGAGTCAGATAAACATTCTAAGAGATAGATGATTGTTTGGGCTTGACTAGCTTTGTGTGTAATGAGAGAGAGATGGGAGAGAGGGGGGTGTAGTGCCGGAAAGATAAGTTTCACGGAAGAGTACTTGGGGTAAGTGGGGGAAAACTAATAAAATAGTTTGAGTGTCGGTCAGCAGCGGCTAGAGAAAAAGGCAGGAATAAAGGGGCTTCTGCAGCGGTTTAGTTAGACCGCTGCCGATTAGTCCCACTCTGTACTTCCAGCTTTCCTAAGTGAGTTAGTCAATAGTGAGTTAGCCGATTAAGGGATCTCTCGAGCCAGAAGTTCCGTTCAAACTCCTATAAACATTTGCCATCATTTCCTCATTAACTTGCAGTGAGAATATATGATGAATTTAGTGCTACGATTCTTGCCTGCAAAGAGAACAATAAATGAAAGCAAAAATCAGAATTCATTGAACAAATCAGGCTTATAGTAAATCTCTTGTGTTAAAGCAATTATCCAGGATGAAAATTCTCAGTGCAGGAATCACTCAATCTAGCAACCATCTTTCATGCACAAAAAAGTTTCTGGAAAAGAGTTACTAGCAGATCCAGGACATACGAGGGATGAGGGACTAATTTAAAGAAAGAGAAAACATGTGTAAGAAGAAAAAAAAATTATGATTACCAGAGTTACAGCCTCAAAAATCACTGCACGTGTTAGGAAGGTGGAAAGTCAAGTTGTTCGGTTTTGGTCAGCACTGAAATTAAATCTAATCATCTAAACCAGCAACCCAATGCATCGGTAACAGATATTATATATAAATTTGGCAAAGCATTTTAATAAAGAATATATAAGCAATCTTCAAATGTCTTAAGGAACTACTGTAACAGCCATACATATAAAAACATATCCAGGGGAATCAGTTTTGGCATCACAAGTGAACACGATTACTCATTAATCGAGCGCTCAATAAAATGCTAAACATTGATCACCAATAGATTTACTTTCAACCAAACTCAGATTTATTATTATGATCAAGCCCTCAAGAGTAAATTCAAGACATGCCAGGGAATCAAAAAATCAGAGAACTACATCGGCTTCCTTCATAAAATGTCAATCAATTCTTTAGTAAATGAAAAGGAATCCACATTGCATCATGATAAGGAACCCACATTTGACCAAACTTAATTATAAACTGGCAACCTCAAGAAATTGCCATACCATGTAACTAGCAATCAAGCAACGCTACTTGGCGCAACCCAGCAAATCAAATACAAAAAATGTGGTCTTAATTCTTGGCCGAAGGACTATAGACAACACAATAGATGAGACCTAGATTGCATTACAAGGACACTTTAACCATCAAGAATTATGATTCCATGTTATTTCCAACCCTCATTTTAAGGAATTTGATTCATGATGCTACTAGAGAAAAAAGACTGTAACTTTCTTCTAAGGAAAAAGACAATAAATTTCTTAAAAAGAAAAAGACAGTAACTTTCTTATAAGAAAAAATGAATTGCAGCTCAGAAATATTTATAATACCCTAAATATTGAGAGAAACGCACAATAATATTTAATTATACGTCTTACAAAATTTATCTCACATTTGCTACAGCAAGAGATAAAAATAGATTTTTTCCACCACATTAAAATGATAAGCAAAAAAGATTAAACAAATTAGATTGACCAAAAGACATGTGAGACAAATTAAGTCTACACTGAATTTCCCAACACAGTTGGGACAATCCAAATTGAGGGCGGCATATGGTTATGTGAACAATCAAGGATGTAATGCATCCCAAAGCTTCCATTCACTACGTTGAAGATACCCATGCCGCGACGCCCAGATGGGGGATAGAATAAAACGTCAATAGGATCATCAATATAGTATATGGAATTCAGTTGGCATCCGGGCCATTTGGAAGCTGAAACACAAATAGAATGGTTATCTCCCAAAAACAGGGTTTCTCCACCCCAATTCTTCACTTCCAACCAGCATATGCGAACCCTCCTCAAATTGCTCTAAGAGCAACTTGAAATTCTTAAACCCTAAAGTTGCATGCTATGAATCGTCTCCAAGTTTTAAAAACCTTTGTACAAGAAGGATTTACCAGTAGATGATTCAACAAGATACTTCTGTTCAGAATACGAAATAGTCTGCGTTGCAATCACCTCCACTTGCGGAGCCTTACTCTCCCCAGCCCTTCTATTAGCATCAATCATTAGGATTCTATTCCTAATATCAACTGCAAAAATCCGGCATTTATAATATATGACATCAAAGATGGGCTTAAATCTCTCTTTATCTTTGCAAGTCCAAGCTTCATCTCCTGCCCGAATAAATGCCAGGTTACAACAATCACCATAAATGGCGGTAACAATATAGTCATTAGGAGACGAAGCAAAGTCTGACAATATAGCCTTTACAACTTCAAACTCAGCCTCAACACCATCGTTGCCATTCTGATGATTTCTGAGAGGTCCATAATTGGAAGAAGCTCAATGGTAGCGCCAGAGAACGGATTCATTAGAGTTACGCCCAAGGATTCTTCCACCGTAAACTGTCAACCATGTGAGGAACCAAAAACCCGCTTTTTGTAAGGTACCTATAACTAAAAATCATATAGCTTACTATGAGTGAAGCTGCATAGACTACTCCTACTATTATCTTTCGAAGGCTTTGTTATCCATTGCCACAGACTGCCACGATTTGCAAGCCGCACCAAATCAAACATATTCAAAAAGCAAAACCAAATTGTCCAAAATCATATAGCGATGCCCAATCTGAATCCTCCATTGTCATATCCAGTAAGTTCTTTGGCAGGGATTGTGAGCTCTTATACAAGATTGGTGCGATATTGGTGTACAATACCTCTTTCATCATACACTGAAGATTACAGAAATGCTACTAAAATATTTGACAAAACTATTCTAATAAAATTAATTTTCAATATTAAAATCTAATTGAGCCACTACCAAATCCAATTCCCATGAAAAAAACTATATATATTGTGAATATGAACAATCAAAACAAGTTAGGCTGCAATAATCTTAATCTTTATATGAATATATAAAGTATGCATATATAACTTCAGGAATATTAATACATAATAGTAAATTCAGCTAAGAATAAGAATATAGGGTTAGTCTATGGAAAACCAACCTATTCCTCTGTTGTACTTGCCAAGTACAGAAATCACTCCGAAGACTCATTAGGATATCTTGCAGCTCCACATCGGCACCTCCCCTTTGCTAACGCCGACGGCTTTCCCGCAGTCACCGTCTCACAGCCGCCGTGCTGCAACAATCCCCACCCAACAGATGGAAGAAGCGTCTGGAACAAGCGACAATGAGCACAGCATCGGAGATGAAGACGCGCTGTCTGTAAGTTCACAGAGGTGGCGGTAGAGGCGACAGCAAGTTCATAGCGGTGATGAGGTCGGGACGGTGAGAGAGAATGTGATTGAGGACGCGGCGGTGGTGAAATTGAGAGAAAAGGCGGGTGGACTGGCGGCATCGCGCAGAGAGAGAGGAGGGCGAAACGAAAGTGGGTTAGGGTTTTTTTTACAAAATTACATTAACGAGGACGACGACTTCCTCTAGCATCAGCGGCGAAGTGGCAATGAGGACGTCGACCACCTCTAGCACCAGCGGCGATGAGGACCACGACCACCTTGTTCTCAAATCCATCCCTCGCCGCACTGACGATGACATCCTCAAGGACTCTGTATCATCTTCCCTGACTCATTCTTCACTGTCTCGCTCGTACCTTCCCCGCCCACGATTCCCATCACATCCCGTAAGAGGTTTTTGTCTTAGGGTTTGGTTTGTGGCGGTTGTGTGGCTTATAGAGAACCAGAACGGCGAAGTCAGTCTCGAATTTTAAGGTTTTAGTTTGGGATACAGTGCTGACATGTGTTCATCACGTGCCTAATTGGCAGGAGATATCGTGGCAACTTTACCCCTGAATAATTTTTGCACTTTTAAAAGGGTTAATTCCACCAGCCCCTAAACTATGAGCTATGCTAATATTTCATACATACTCCCTCTACGTTTTATAATTTTATTTACCTCTCTTGAGGTTTTGATTTATATAGGAAATTATCCCTGCCATTAAACAAGTGACGGTGTCAGCATGAACAAATCTGTACAAGATCAATTCTGCCCATTCAATACTTAAAATGACATTTTTAACCTCATTTATCAATGCAAATTTATAAAATTACCCTTAACTTATAAACTCAAAAAGTTTAATCCACGGTGTCCTCATATCATCGAACCTAGAGCACCATTCATCGATTGCTTCAACTTTGTAAGTCGCCGGAATTGAGCCCACAATATTAATCCAGGCACCAAAAGATGGTGACCAAACAAGTCGTTGCTCGCCAGACTAAAAAAGGAGGAATCCTTAGTTCGATCCAAACGCCGTCGAATCTACCGTGTGATCTAAAATCCCCTTCTTTGCTGAAAATCTTCTCTGTATCTTTCTGAACTGAAATCCCCTTCTCGTTGTAGAACCCTCCTTCTCTCAACTAGAAATCTCTCTAGTTGGAATATTGTTTTTGGAAATCTCTGTAGTTGGAATTTTGTTTTTGGAAATCTCTCTATGTTTCTAATAATCTCGCCATTAACCCTCTAATATTCGTCGTCGGTTCAAGATGGTTATAGATAAAAAGAAGAAAACACGTACAAATGATTAATTTTGTTCTATTGAATTGTTTTATCAAAACAAAAGCAAAGACCAACACATCCGTTCAATGTTAGGATGCGTTTATCGCTAGATTTTCATCCTAATTTTTTTTTTCCCCTGATTTGATTTGGAAACAAAAAAGAAAAATCACAATGAATGGAGTCAGGTTTCCGGCGAGATCAAGTGAGTTCCGGGGGAGGAATTGTCAGCAGTGAGTTGATCATTTATGAACATTGAGTTCGACGGAGATGGAATTTTCCGGCAAGGTTATGACTTAAATTGTTGAAGGGTGACGACAGTCACGTGCCGCCATCGGGTCTGATCTTCTTATTGCCGATAAAACCTCTTCACATGATTCAGATTTTGGGTTGAATACTTAGATACCTCCTTCGACTTCATCAATCTTCATTCCGCTCTCCCAAACAGACCCTGCAACTACACTATTTTTTTTTCACAATTGGATCTTGGGTCTGCTAGTGGTGTTGTTTGCAAAGGGTGATTGTGGATGGTGGTTAGTGTCAGCAGTGTTGGTGGTAGGTCGAGGTGGAGAAATGGCAAAATCGGTTTTTTAACTCGCTAGAGATCGCTTCACCAAGTTCAGTCTGGCAATCCTAACTCTGGTGAAGTTTAGTTCAATCCGGCGAAGCTCGCAATGGAGTAAGGACTGAAGGTTGAACGGTGATGTGTCCTTGCAATTGAATGGAAGGAAGTAAGGAGAACGGCTCGGCTGTGATAAGAACCATATTTTCCAGTGGTTGTTGTGCATTCCATCGGTGGCATAGTTTCTTAGTCGCTGGCAATAATGAGAAAGAAAGAAAGAAAAAAAATAAAATAAAAAAAAAAAAATATATATATATATAGTGTGTGTGTGTGTGTATAAATATGTGTGTGAGAGTAGAGAGAGAAATTTAATGGTGTTAAGAGGGTGTTAAAGTCTTTTCTTTTTAGTTATAAATTTTTATATATAATTAAAGGGTAAAATAGTAAAATTACACTTTTCCATTAGTAAATTAGACGGTGATTACTGTAATATCTCTAATTTTCAAAAGGATATAATTGAAATTTAATTATTTATTTCAAGTGCATTTTTAATTGATTATGTGGCTATGAGTTTATTTGATTAATTGTTTATTTGAAATATGTGATTTAATTGTGTGTTTTAATTGATTGATTGTGTGGGAATTGTTTGTTTAATTGTGTGAAATTTCTTGTAAATTATTTGTTACTTTTAAATGATTAATTGATTTATTTAATATTAATTTTATTTTAAAAATGATTTGAATTTGGATAGTAGTAATGGATTACCCAATGGGTCACATGAACTACTTGGATAGGAGATTAGATGGGTATGTATAATTACCCATGGATGGTTGTGTATGTATATATATATATATGGGTATATATATATAAGGATAGTTTAATTATTATTATTAGTATTTATTTATTACTAATAGTAAAATTATAATAATTAGTGATATATATATATATATATAGTTATAATAATATATTATATATGTATATATAGTCACGTTTTATCAGACTTAGTATATGTATGTATATTTATATTTATATTTTCTTTTTCTTTTTCCTTTTATTGTATTAATATTGGGGTATAATTAGAATTAGGGTTTTAGTGTATAACATATATGTATATGTATATACCTTATGTCTGCCAAGGGTTTAGAACCCTATTCACGTACTATTGGAGGAATATAAGGTTTGAGAGAAAACAGAGAGTTTTTAATAGAGAAAAAATTAGGGTTTTGGCCAAAGACTTAAGGCCAGAACAAGGAGGAAGATTGAGGGTTGTTCGGGGGTTAGAACCAGAGCAGTAAGAGGCGTCGATGGCGGCCAAACATCGTCAGAAAAGCTAGGAAGAAGAGGTTAATGTTTCAATCCGAAACCTAGAGGCAAGTTCTTCTTCTACTCTTTTTCTTAGATTTCGTGTTCTATACATGCCTAGGTTAATTCCAGGATTAATCAGATAATAAATTAACAATGTATGCATGTTTAATCGGAATAAAAACATAATTTATGTGTTTATATTCATACTTGCTTGATTTTGAAATTCCTTGCTTGAATCTTGTTTTAATTAGTGTAAAAGATGCATAAGAACTTTATAAAATCAATTGGGATCATCTGGAACTTAAAACAAAATGTTAGGAACCTTAAGGAAGATGGTCGGAATGATCAGAGGACACCGGAGATGAAGAAGAGGGAGAGTAGAAGGAATGGAAGCGGCTCCATTCGAATGGAGACGACTCCATTCAAATGGAAAAGTGGAGGTGGCTCCTTTTGGATAGAGCATGCTCTCTTGCTGGAACACTGCAGAAAGTGTATTTATGGTTCTGTTTTGGATTTTTGGGATTTTCTATGGTTGCTTAGACTGTAATAAGGGTTTTAAATGACTACGAAGTACATGCTAAAAACCCACAATGTATAATCTATATTAATGTGCTAAGGATTTGAACAATATAAAATTTTAATTAAATTTGCATGTTGTTGGTGGATGTTTTAATTACTGAAAATTATTCTAGCAATTTAAATGGATGTTGCATGATTTTAATCATGTGTTAGCAGTATAATATGCTCAGTTAATTATCTGATTTTAATTATACTTATCTCTGAATTAATTGATGTGTTGTTTTATTTCTTCATCAATTATTGGATGGAATGGATGATTTAATTGCTTAAAAATAACTTCACAATTAATATGGATGTTATATAATTTTAATCTTGTGTTGATTGCATAATATGATTCTTTATATCTAATTATTATTATGCTTATTCCCGGTTTATTGATGTATTGTTTTATTTCTTTCATCAATAATTGGATTGTATGGATGTAATGCACCGGTATGGGATGGTGGCATTCTAGGGACGGATTAACTTATCAGTTAAGTCCTACCTATTTTTGTAAATGGATAGATTAACCAAAAGAATGTTAAGTCCTACCTATATTCAAGTCAGGTCAGCTAAATAAGTTGAATGGTTTATAGAGGATTACTTATAGAGGATTAATTTTAGAGGATTACTTTTTACTGGATAGGATGGTTACTGGATTATATATATATAAATATGATGCCATGATATAAGCTTGAGTCTCAGGATCATGGTTAGGGTACGTATATTGCCTAGGATGGATAACTGGATATAGTAAACATCTGGGTGCCCTGGTAGGTCTAGGTACTCATGCCCACTTTATGTGCGATTTGCATATTGCCTTCTATTCAGGTTGAGACAGACATATAATCTAGTGAGCGTCCTATAGTGATTGTTGGATTGACTAGGATGTATATGTGTATTGAATCTCTGCTTGGACCGCAGTAGATTAGAACTTGTTTGTGTGCCTGACCCACCATTATTTTTCAGGTATTTGTTTAAATAATATTGAATCAGTTCATGAAATTAGATTGAAAAATAACCAATAATTCTAATTGTTGATTTTGATAAATAAAAAAAAAAAAATAGTGACGGGACGAAAAATAAATAAATAAAAAGTAATCATTAAAAATTATATCTTTTGACATGAAAAAAAAATTCCTAAAAAACTATATTTATTAAAGAAATGATCTCTTTTGTCAAGATCTCTCAAAAAAAAAAAAAAAAAGATTAAATATATATATTTTTTATCTCTATCAAAAATATTATCTCTTTTAATAATACCTCAAAAAAAAAAAAAAAAAAATATATATATATATATATATATATATATATATCGAATACATTATTTCTTTTGAGATGATTCATAAAAAATTACCAATCAAAGATTACAAAATAAAATAAAAAATTAAGTGAAAAAAAGTTAAATTCATATAAAAAGACAAAATTACCCCCTGAATATTAAATTCAAATACATTACAAAATATAAGATCTTACAAAATGACGCAATAGCCCCTTATTTTTTCTTTTTTCTCTGTTCCTATCACACCATCTATGCTTCTCTCTCTATATCCCCTAACATATACGCTTGTGTGTATATATACACATTACAACACCACCACCAACACCGGCTGTTGCACAAATGTAGATGAAACCATAACCTCTTCTCTAATCCCCAATGTTACCGCTATAAAAGTTGCCAATGCCAATGCCAATGCCCAATAATTCATCTCGTTCTCTCTCCTCTCTGTCCTCAACACCAAAGACAACCGGCAATTTTGATTCATTCACAAAACAGAAAAAATAAAGAGGCCAAGAGATAGAGCACATGACAAAAATGTCTAAATTTGAGAGTGATTCATTTGTTATTTTTTTATATACCTCTCTCCACTCTCTCTTCTCTTCTATTTTCTTCTCAGTTTATATAGAGAAACAAGAAGAAGAGAGCAGTCTATATCAATCCCATCTTTTTCCAGATCACTCTCTCTCTTGGTTACCATTAATATTAGAGAACCCATTTGGAGTTCATTTGCTAAGACAAGCCAAGAACATGATTGTGTGGGTGGTGGCGGCGATTGATGATTTGGATTGTGTGGGTGGTGGCTACGGCGGCGATTGGTGATGGACTGTGATTAGGATTGTGTGGGTTTTGGCAGTGGCGGCGATGGGTGGTGGCGGTGGGCGGCGATTATGTAGTGTGCATACATACATACATACAGAGTGAAAGGTTTGGGTTTAAGGGTTTAGCTTTGGGTTTGATCCAAGCTATTTAAGTAAATTAAAATATCAATTTTATATCAAAAGTAATAAAGTCAATTTATCGTTGTCAGGTGTGTTTGTCCATTTTTCAGGGAGTATATTTATCCAAAAAACAGATAATTTTTATCTGTTTGTCCTTTTGCTAAACCTCATGGGGTGGTTATACTTTACAAAAAAAAAAAGTAAAGAAAGTATAAACGGTAGTTATGACATTATAAATTAATGGATTCAAAACTTTTTTGTTATTTTTTTTTAAAATAAAAAAGATAAATAGAGTGTAATCGAAAAAAAGTGGAATGTAATATAACTACCCAAATTTAAAAGGTAACTTAAATGAGGAATGCTAAGGACAACTATTGAATTCCTTTTAAACTCATTAAATACTTGTTTTCTTATTTAATGAGATGCTAAAAACATGCATTTATAAAGCAAAGATATCCTTTTAAGCCTTTATTCTTTCTCATCATATTATATATATATATATATATATATATATGTATATGTATATATATAGCTAACTTTTTTTTTTTTTGGCAACTAATAAAGATTTTTTTTATTAATATTGATTGAGGGCAAACCTACTTTACTGTTTATATATATATTCACGCCAACCTTATATGTATTCTTTATATTAGTATATTATATTACATTACATTTATATATATATATATATATATACTTTAAAAGTGAAAAGAGTATTTTGTATTTAAGAATTACAATATAATATTAAAAAACTTACTTATAATAATACAATAATATTAATATTATTAACTTACTAAATAAGCAAATTAAGTTTTTTAATATTACATTAAAGAGTTTCAGTTGAAAATTTTAAAATCTATACAATATTTTTTTTTCTTTTGTCTAGATTTTTTTTGTTTCTTTCTTTTATAAATAAATTACCCAAATACAGTTTTTATTCCTTAGTTTAATTAGAACATAACCTCTATGGAGTATAACAATAGGTAAGTTTTTAAATATCATATCAATCAGTTGAAATTTTACATAATCTATACAATTATTTTTATTTTCTTTTTGCCAGTTATTTTACATGTTTTTGTCCTTTAGTTTAATTAGAACACAACTTCTATAATAAGTTTAGTTTTTTAACTAATTGAAACACAAGCTCTATAATAATAGATAGGTTTGATAAGTGAAAATATTAAAATAAAAAATTATTGTAATTATATATATACACACGTCCATATAAATAAATAAATATATATATATATATATATATATATATATATACACGCGTACACGTATGAATCAAGACAGGAAAGAGAAAAAAAGTTTTAAGGGTATTTTTGTCCTAAAAGATAACTTTTTTAGTCTGCCATTCGTTAAGGAAACAAGTAATTAATAAAGTTAAAATGGCCAATGACTTTGGCTAGATTTTTCTTACCATTCCTCTTATTTCATATATATATATATATATATATATATTATAATTTATCTATTCCTATAATACATTTAAAAATAATAATTATACCTTGACTAATCCTTGTTGTATTAGAATTTTTAGAAGTTTTTCCTTTATTCCTTTCTTGAATAGGGGAGGAATTATATATATATATATATATATATATATATATAGACACATCAACGCAGCTTCATAAATCTCATTGTACTCAGTTGTGGAAGTTATTATTGCAGACTTTGGTAAGATCTTTAAACTATTCATATTCTTTATTTTCATTCTCTTTTTTTATTTACTTATTCCTTTTTAAAATTATAATGTTGTTTCTTATTGTGTTTTTACCTACTTGCTATTATTCGATCATGTATTTATATTCATATGCTTAAATAGTTTCATTTATAATTATATCATCAATTAATTGTATCATATTATATAAATAAAATAAAAATACTTTATTTTAATGGATTATATAACTACGTGTTGAAAAAAAAAAAAAAAAAAAACACTTTGCATCAATATTAAGGCTTCTGCCATGAAACACAAACGTCTAAGGGTACCATGGTGCAGTTACGGTACGCAATTTCAACATTGGTGAGGGGGTTTAACATGTAATTTACAGACTTTTATACATCATCCTTAATCCCTAAAAAATCCAAGTATATTGTTCAGACTTTAAAGAGTGTCATTATATTACTTACAATTTAAGGGTAATTTGAGAATTACTTGAAAATATACCGGCTCGTGTATGAACCGACGCCAAAGGGAGGGTCTTTTTTACAACATTGATATAGATGAGGGTTCAATTTGCAAGTCCAAATAGTTTAGGGTGTATTTTTCACTTTTGATAATTGAGGGTTTTTTGCACTTTTGCCTTATTTTTGTTTTCAAAACTTGTTTTTATTAATTGGATTCTTATAGTGGTAATTGAATTTATACTTTATCCTCTTCAAACTCCAATTGCTTGATAAATTGCTATTAGTGGTTGAAGATAATTTATTGATATATATTATTTTAAAACATATTATCCGTGTTGTGTGTTATTTTTTTGACCTATTATGATTTATAATTATGTCTAATTACTTAAAATATGAATTTTAATATTTATTTATAATTAGTATTTATATCTTATGATTAAAAATAACTTAAATAAGAAATTACAACTCCTTAAAATTTATTATTTACTCTTAGAAATTTGTTTGTTGCTAATGAATGTGAAAAGGACAACGCATTTGATTTCATAAATATCTAAAATTTATATTAGTCAGAACAAGTTACTAATTAATTATTTAATTACTCAAAACAATTGCTAACTAATTATTTGTAAAAAGGTTTTATTTATATATATATATATATATATATATATATATATAATTTTGCATATGAAAAACTAATTAAAATTATAAATTAAATTTTGAGTTTCGAGCACCTGCTTTTTTCTAATAATATGATTCTGTAAAAATGTTAGTTGAGGAAGTTATCAATAATGATTTTGTTAAAATGTTAGTTGAAGATGTAATTATTATTATTTCATATATATATATATATATATATATATATATATATATATATGATTTTCTCCAATTTATTTATTTTTATTATAATATATCTATCCCAATAATACATTTTTTTTGAAAATAAAACCCTGACTAATCTCATAAATATATATATACATCTACGCAGCTTCATAAATCTCACTGTATTCTTCATCGTGGAAGTTATTATTGCAAACTTTTGTAAGTTCTTTAAACTATTCATATTATTTATTTTCTTCTTTTTTTATTTGTTTTATTTACTTATTCCATTTAAGATTATAATATTATTTTTTATTGTGTTTTTACTTATTTTGCCATTATTCAATCATGTATTTATATGCTTAAATAAATTCATATATAAACTTAGTATATTATTGACCAATTGTATCATGTTACATAAATAAAAATTCTTTTTATTTTAGTGAGTTTAATTTATCACTCCATGTTAATATTAAGACTTACAATGAAACACAATTACCGACAACGATACTGTGTGCAATTTCCTTAAATAGACTCTCGTTTTTCTATTTAAGGAAAGATTATATCTTTATATATAAAGGTAACAAAATAAACTCTCCACTTTTATACATCTACTCATATGGTTTGCATCCCCCAAGTGTGAAGTTTAAGATTATTTAAGGTAAGTTGTTGTGATTGTTTATATTCAATATATATATATATATATATATATATATATATTGATATTGTTTTTATGGGTTGGGACGGATTGTGACCTGAATTTGGTTGTGGCTCAATCAGATTTTAATATTGAAAGATTAGTTTTTTCAGATTTGTTAGTAACGAGTTTGATATGATGAATTACACCACTAACTTATTCATACTATAGTTAACCACCAATAAGTTTGTCTAAGTGTTTTTTTTTTTTTTTTTTTGTGAATTATTTAGTTTAAAATTATAAACCCCGTTTGAATTTTTGCCAATTATTTAAGTATCGTAGATATAATGTAAGTTATTGTGATTATTTGAGTATTGTAGATATAATGTAAGTTATTAAAATTATAAATCCCATTTGAATTTTTGCCAATTATTTGAGTATTGTAGATATAATATAAGTTTATGTGATTATTTAATATTCTTTGATTTGTTGACATTGCAGGAAATTAACGAATTCAATGGAGGAGTCAGATTGGGCATGGCTTCCCAAGCAGTTATTGGATATGATTCTGGACAATTTGGTTTCGCTTTCTGAATTTGTTCAATTTGGTGCGGTTTGCAAACCATGGCAGTCTGTGGCAATGGAGAACAAACTTAAATTCGTTCAAAATAAGTTGTCTAGACAAGTTCCATTTTTGATGGTGCCTACGGAAGATAATAGTGACGAAAGACGTAGTCTATATAGCATCACTGATAATAAGCTATATGATTTTCAGTTACGAGTACCTTACAAAAAGAGGCTTTCTGGTTCCTCGTATGGTTGGTTGTTTACTGTGGAAGAATCCTTAGGCGTAACTCTAATGAATCCGTTCTCTGGCGCTATCATTGAGCTTCCTCCAATTATGAACCTCTCAGAATTGGAACCTCATCCTAATCACATTAATGTTAGGCCTCTTGAGGTTGAGTTTGAAGTTACAAAGGCTATATTGTCAGCCGACCCTGCTTCGTCGCCTAATGACTATATTGTTGCCGCCATCTATGGTGATTGTTGTAACCTCGCATTTATTCGGGCAGGAGATAAAGCTTGGACTTACATAGATAAAAAGAGATTTAAGCCCCTCTATGATGTCATATATTATAAAGGCCAGATTTTTACAGTTGATAATAGTTATAGAGTCATAATAATTGACGTTAATAAAAGGGCGGGGGAGAGTAAGGCTCCACAAGTGGAGGTAATTGAACTCCGAACTAATATGTATGGTGATCCGACATATCTTGTCGAATCATCTAGTGGGGATTTACTTTTTGTACAAAGGTCTTACGAAGTTGGAGACGATTCACAACATGCAACATCAGGGTTTGAGGTTTTCAAGTTGCACTTAGAGCAATTTGAGCAGGGTTCGCCTATGCAGCTTAAAGGAAAAAACTTGAAGAACTTGGGCGGAGACACTCTATTTTTGGGAGATAACCATTCAATTTGTGTTTCAGCTCCCAAATGGTCTGGATGCCAACCGAATTCCATATACTACACCGATGATAATATTGACATTCTATTCTATCCCCCATTGGGGCGCCGCGACATTGGTATCTTCAACATAGAGAATGGAAGCTTTGGGACGCATTACAACCTTGATCATTCACATAACCATATGCCACCTTCAATTTGGATTGTGCCAACTATGTTAGGAAAGTGACTACGAAAGTAATTTCTTGAGTGTCCTTTTGGTCCGATCTATAGTTTCTTTTGTTTTTAATTTTTTTGTTTTTCATTGTTTTGTGCTGAAACAAATCTATTTTGTACACAAGTCTATTCTAAATTTATATCAAAATGTAAGATCGTGGTTCTGAGACTTCTAAATAAAAATATCATTCGTAGTTGGCTCTCATAATCTATTTATCATCGAATTATTTATTTATATTTTTTTTTCGGAAAGTAATTATTTATTTATATTGTTAACACAGAAGTACTTTGTCTTTTTTTTTTTTTTTTTTTGTCTGTCAGCATCATCAATAATATTCCTTAAAATTAGGGGATAGAAACACTTGAAACAATGTCTTATATAATGAAGTATGAGTTAGAGGTTGATGACTGGTATGAAGTTACTTGTATTATATGCTACTCAAGTATTGTTCTCCGCCAATTTGATCCATAGCAAGTGATAAGAGTTGCCAAGAAAGGTAATTAAAGTGGCACATCCCACACATGACACATATATGTTGTTCCTTCACTATATCAAACAGTACTTGCTAGATTGCTACACCATTCACCAATGGAATCCCCACACAAAAATGAGATCCTAACAACCAACCTCCCCATCATGACTTCCGTATCATCTTTCTCATTTTTAATTATCAAATTAGATGGTTAGAGATGGTGCGATACATGTTCACTTACGAAATTAAAGATTATGAAATATAATTCAGTAATTAAAAAAAAATTATTATATATAATATGTTATATATATTATTTATCATTTTATATGAAATTGATGTAAAAAATTAATTAAAAATATTACTTACACAGTGGTTTACGATGTATAGCATTTCAATATTTAATTATATCATTTTTTTCTTTCAAATTATTATTATTTTATCTTAACTATTTTACTCCTATTAGTCAACCGTTTGTCCCATGCTTGGATCAAACTATTCATGCTGGTGTGGATATTTCAACCCGTAAACAAACAGTATCAAAAGCAATCCCAGCAAAAGTAGCATCATAATTCACAGCAATGAGGGGTTAAATACGCACCCCCACCCTTCCCTTCATCTCTCTCCTCAAACACACACAGTCGTCCATGGCGGGCCGATCGGTTAGAAGAGACTAAACAAACAATTGAACCCTAAGCCCCTTCCTTCCATGGCCTCTTCGTCGTCTTCTTCTCGTTTTAGTTACAAAAAGACTCTGTTCATTTCGATCGTTTTGATTATAAATATTGTCGTTATGTTGAGCAAATCGTCGAACATGTGGAGCATAGTTGGAATCAATGCCCATTCCAACAATCTTTACTCCATCGAAGTAGTCAACGAGTTCCCTCACGACCCCAAAGCCTTCACTCAGGTCCAATCTTCGTTTCAAATCTCGAATTTTATATGAATTTTGTTTATATTTAATGACTTCACTAAATAGAACTTCCATGTTTGGATCAATCAAGAAACACTATTTTCCTTATATTTTTTATATTTATTTATTTTGGTTAAATTAAGCCTAACTTTGAAAATGCTTTTTTTGTTTTTGTTTTTGTTTGGGTATTGAAGTGTTTGGAGATTATATATCATCCTTAATCCGTAAATCTAAGCCATCGTACGTTGTTCAGACTTCAGAGAGTGTCTTTCTATTTAAGGAAAGATTAGAAAGACACTCTCTGAATTATTGATATTGTTTTTATGGGTTGGGACGGGATGTGACTTGAATTTGATTGTGGCTCAATCAGATTTTAATATTGAAAGACTAGTTTTTTCAGATTTGTTAGTAACGAGTTTGTTATGATGAAAGAGGCATTACACCACTAACTTATTCATACTATATCCTAAGTTTGTTAAGTTTTTGTTTGTTTTTTTGTTTTTGTTCTTGTGAATTATTTAGTTTAAAATTATAAATCTGTTTGAATTTTTGCCAATTATTTGAGTATTGTAGATAAAATGTAACTTATTGTGATTATTTGAGTATTGTAGATATAATGTAAGTTATTAAAATTATAAATCCCGTTTGATTTTTTGCCAATTATTTGAGTATTGTAGATATAATGTAAGTTATTGTGATTATTTAGATTCTTTGATTTGTTGACATTGCAGTTGTATTAGGAAAATTAATGTGTTCAATGGAGGAGTCAAATTGGGCATGGCTTTCAAAGAAGTTATTGGATATCATTCTGGACAAGTTGGTTTCGCTTTTTGAATTTGTTCGATTTGGTGCTGTTTGCAAACCATGGCAGTCTGTGGCAATGGAGAAAAAATTTAAATTCATTCAAAATAAGTTTTCCAGGCAAGTTTCATTCTTGATGGTGCCTTCGAAAGATAATAGTGACAAAAGACGTAGTCTATACAGCATCACTCATAATAAGCTATATGATTTTCAGTTAGGGGTACCTTACAAAAAGATGTTTTCTGGTTCCTCACATGGTTAGCTATTTACTATGCAAGAATCCTTCTAATGAATCCGTTCTCTAGCACTACCATTGAGCTTCCTCCAATTATGGACTGCACTGAATTAGAACGTCCTCGTCAAAACGTCAATGATAATGGTCTCTTATACGAAACTAAATCAACTCCTACTGAGGTTGAGTTTGAAGTTACAAAGGCTATATTGTCAGCTGACCCTGCTTTGTCTCCTAATGACTATATTGTTGCTGCCACCTACGGTGGTTGCAATAACTTGGCATTTATTTGGGCAAGCAACGAAGCTTGGACTTACATAGATAAAAAGAGATTTAAGCCCATCTTTGATGTCATATATTATAAAGGCCGGATTTTTGTAGTTGTTATTGGTAGAGTCCTAATGATTGATGTTAATAGAAGGGCTGGGGAGAGTAAGGCTCCACAAGTGGAGGTAATAGTACTGCAGAATATTTTGTATTCTGAACATTTGTATCTTGTCAAATCATCAAGTGGGGTTTTACTTCTTGTACAAACGTTTTTAAAGCTTGGAGACGATTCACATCATGCAACTTCAGGGTTTTAAGGTTTTCAAGTTGCTCTTCGAGCAATTTGAGCAGGGTTCACATATGCTGGTTGAAGTGAAGAATTTGGTCGGAGACACCCTGTTTTTGGGAGATAGCCATTCCATTTGTGTTTCAGCTTCCAAATGGCCCGGATGCCAACCGAATTCCATAAATTATACAGATGATTTTATTGACTTTCATTTCCATCCCTCAGGGCGCTGCGACATGGGTATCTTCAACATAGAGAACGGAAGATTTGGACCGCATTACATCCTTGATCCTTCACATAACCATATGCCGCCCTCAATTTGGATTGTCCCAACTGTGTTGGGAAATTCAGTATAGACTTAATTTGTTTCGGGTGTCTTTTGGTCAATCTAATTTATTTAGTTTTTTTTTGTTTATCATTTTTATGTGCTGAAAAACTCTATTTTTATGCCACTCTCAAGTTTTTAAAACATATAATTGAATATTATTGTGGGTTTCTATCAATTTTTATGGTATTACAATTCATTTTTTCTTATAATAAAGTTATTATCTTTTCCCTTATAAGAATTGTCTTTTTCTTTAGAAGAAAGTTACTGTCTTTTTTTTCTGTTAGCATCATGAATCATATTCCTTAAAATGAGGGTTGGAAATAACATTGTATCATAATTCTTGATGATTAAAGAGTCCTTGTAATGCAATCCAAAGTGTTGTTTGTAGTCCTTCAGCCAAGAATTAAGACCACATTTTTTATATTTGATTTGCTAGGTTGCGCCAAGTAGTTTTGCTTGATTGTTAGGTACATGGTATAGCAATTTCCTGAGGCTGCCTGTTTATAATTAAGTTTGGTTAAATGTGGATTCCCTTTCATGTACTAAAGAATTGGATGACATTCATAAAGGAAGCCTATGTAGTTCTTTAAGTTTTATATTTTTTATTTTTAAAATTCCCTGGCATGTCTTGAATTTACTCTTGAGGGCTTGATCATATTAATGGATCTGAGTTTGGTTGAAAGTAAATCTATTGTTGATCAATGTTTAACTTATTATTGAGTGCTAGATTAATGAGTTGTCGTGTTCACTTGTGATGCCAAAACTGATCGGTAGTAGATAATTTGATTGATTCCCCTGGATAGGTTTTTAAAGCATGTTGCTTAGATATTCTTTATTAAAATGCTTTGCCAAATTTATATATAATATCTCTGTTTCCATTGCTTCGGGTTGCTGGTTGCTGGTTTTGATGATTGGATCTAATTTCATTGCAGAGGCCAAAACTGAACAACTTGAGTAATCAACTTCCAAACATATGTTTAATGGTTTTTGAGGCTGTAGCTCCAGTCATCAAATATTATTTTTATTTCTTACACATGTTTACTCTTTCTTTGAATTAGTCCCTCATCCCTTGTATGTCCTGGATCTGCTAGTAACTCTTTTCCAATAACTTTTTCGTGCATGAATGATGGTCTTGTGCATGTGTGGTTTTTAGATTGAGTGATTCTTGCAGTGAGAATTTTCATCCGGTGATGTGGATAATTGCTGTAACAGAAGAAATTTACATAGCTGCAATTATGTTTTTTTCTTTTGTCGGTGCTATGAGCCTGACTTGTTCAATGAATTCGAAGTTTTGCTTTCATTTGTTGTTCTCTTTGCAGGCAAGAATATTTGCACTGAATTCATCATATATCCTCACTGCAAGTTAATGAGAAAATGATGGCGGATGTATAGCAACAGTCTAAATAAACAGCTGCAGAAGCCCCTTTATGCCAGCCTTTTTCCCTAAACTATGAACAAACAGAGTTAGAGAGACATTTTAAGAGATAATGTGACTGCCACTCAAACTATTTTATCAATTTTCCCCCAATTACCCAAAGTACTATTCTTGTACTACACCCCTCTCACTATGCACAAAGCTATTCAAACCCAAAAAGAACAATCATCTATCTCTTAGAATGTGTCTTTGACTCTATCTTCTCTCATAGATTACTTTTATTTCTCTCTTGCAATCATACTCTCTAGCTCTCTCTTCTCTCACTTCATATTTATACAGAGTTTTCATTGAAATACATAGTCCTGTAACTAGAAAATCAGTGTCAACTCTCTCTCTCTCTCTCTCTACATAGAAGCATATTATACATATATAAATATATGTGTGTATTAGAGCTGAATGATTTATCAGCATGTACTGAACTCTGTTTTTCTCTTAAAAATATATTTGCCATACCTGTGCTGTTAGGGTTAAAATTAATCAATGCATGTAGTTGATTATGAAGCATAAGCAGCTATTGGAGCTCAAATGGGAATCTAAAGCATCTATTGAAGCTGAATTATGTTCGATTGGGGCTCAGCTATTGAAGTAATCAATCAATGCATGTGTTTGATTTGGGCCAAATGATTTCCTGCGGGCAATAAGGTTAGAAATTTTGCTTTCCTGCACATGATTTTCTATTTCTCTGTTTGGTTGTTTTGAAATGAAATGGAAATTGTGCTAGATCATGTTTATGGTTTTTGAACACTTCATTTGAAGAGTTGAAAGACAGAGATTGAGCATGGTTTTTGTATAAATTCTTTACATTTGAGAAGTTGGAAGAGAAAGATTGAGGAAAAAAATGATTGATCTGGTTTTCCTTTATGTTTATCGTAATTTACAGTGTCATACAGACAACACATATTTCATTTAATGTATGTAGTATAGGTTGGATGGCAAAGTTCTTCAAACAAGTGCAACATTTATCATTCAATTTTTATAGTTTTAGTGTGAATATGGTTATATTAGTAGTTACCAATCTCAGTAGAAAATTTATATCATCATATACGACTTTAAGAGTTGAAAGAGAGAGATGAGGGGGAAACAATTATTGATCTGGATTTCCTTTATGTGTATTGTAATTTACACTATCATGCAGACATATTTCATTTAATGTATGTAGTATAAACAAATGCAACATTTATTTCAACATACATGACTTTACGACACGTGTTTTGATGCTTTGGAATAATGCCAAGGACTTTCAGAAGTTATTTCAATGGTGAAGATAATAGACATTTTGTTAGGATATAATTTAATAATAGTTCGAAGCATACACCAAGGAAGGTTAGTGGCCTGCAGATCATAACCATTGGTTTGGCATGGTTTCTAAATCCTGTTTTGTTGCACATATTTGGCAGAATTTTCCAGTTTTGCATCTAATAAAAGAATAATTAGAACTTGTTAAGTTGCCTTAAAAGGTGTCATGTGGACTAACGCAGACTATTTTCGGATTTAGTTTAGTAATGACCACCTTTTTATCTGTTTCAGCTACCAGGGAAATGCCTCTCCATATGATTCTTATTGCAGCTTATAAACACCCTGATGTGAACTCAGCTTATAACAATGTAATCTGATCAGTTGTGTTTCACAAAGTAAGTGTTCTTACCTGATGTTGATTTTTGAAAGCACCGATTCGATTGTTAGTGATAAATCTTAATAACTGATATTCTGCTTTTTTTATTTATACTTTTCTTATCTTCTAGAAATTGGTTAAGTGATTCTTATTTTGGTGTAAACTTGATGCAGACACTCAGAAAATGCAACAATTATGTTTATTTCGGTGAATAAATTTTGTTCTCTCTTGGACTATAAGCAACTCTCCATTTATTGGATTTTGCAATTGCATGTTGGCATGAGTTTTAGCCTTTTACTACCAATGGAAAAAATCATTATGAGTATGCTTAACACTATTACGGACTCCACTAATTTGAGCTTTATGTGGTCATGGTAATTTCAGAACTTTTCCTTTATTGGTAAATTAGATAAAAGAAGGAAAAAAGTTGAGTACTCGTGACCATTCAAATTTAAGTATATAGGTTCTTCCTCCCTGTAATTTAGCTGATGAGGCCTAAACTAAAATTTTGAAATGCAAAAAACTTATAAGCTCAAATAGTGAAATGGTCATTTGTTATAACATTTCTTTGAATTTTAGTGAGTTCATGGATTTGTTTAATGCTTCAAAAACAACCGAGTCCTTTCTTCACTCTTCAGAAGGTGTTCTAGTCTTTTGAGCTGAAAATAGAAAAGAAGATTTGATCTTATCCCCTATTTTAAGCTCCAATCTTTGTGCTTAACTTAGTATCTCAAAATTCTTATAGTTGGCATTTTTAAGCCCCAACTAGTGTTTTTTTAGGGTTGAGAATAAGAAGGCTACTTGAAGGAGACAAATCATCTCTTGATTTTTTTTTATTTTTTTTTATTTATAATTTTAATTTTTTATTGAGTGGCATGCATTACTGGGTCTCTTTATCGTTTGGCAAATGAAAGACCTTTCTGCTATATAACACTATTGATCTTGTGACTCTTTAGTAGTTTAGAGTTAAGACGTTTGCCTGTTTATAATTAAGTACTAAAGAATTGGATGACATTCATAAAGGAGGCCTATGTAGTTCTTTAATTTTTTTTTTTTTTTCTTGAATTTACTCTTGAGGGCTTGATCAGAATAATGGATCTGAGTTTGGCTGAAAGTAAATCTATTGCTGATCAATGTTTAACTTTGAGTGCTAGATTAATGAGTTGTCGTGTTCACTTGTGATGCCAAAACTGATCGGTAGTGATAATTTGATTGATTCCCCTGGATAGGTTTTTATTTGTATGGCTTCTTTAAAGCATGTTGCTTGGATATTCTTTATTAAAATGCTTTGCCAAATTTATATATAATATCTCTGTTTCCGATGCATTGGGTATGATTAATATTGTTTGGCAATTTTTTTTTTTTTTTTTAATGGAATTGGGGGGGAAAGTGAATTCATTTTGTCAACTGAGATTATGGTTCCAGTCCAAGTGCAAAGGTAATCAAAAGTTAAACTGTCATATAGAACAACTGGAAACAATAGAAACTAGGTTAAAACAGTCCAGCATAACAACATAAACTAAGAACGCAAATTAAAACTAGCAAAGCGCTTTCTTCTTGCGCGCTCCAAAGGCTTGAGATGTCCGCAAAGCCACCTTAAGACCCACCAGCTATAAGCTATCAACCATTCCTACCCGCTTACAATCCTAATATGTCAATGAGCCCTCCCCCGGTGTTCCGCCACCTCTGGTTCATTTCTGAATTTGATGTGGCATGAGGCACACTCCGGTTCATTTCTGTGTACTGCGGCTTGATGATTCACCAAAGCAGAAAGTGCGCCGCACGATTTGTTACATAGGTTGCAAGAAAATACTTCCAACCTTTGCGGCCCTGGTGCACATGCGCACATTCTAGGGTTCTCAACATTGCGAACCACTATGTAACCAAAACAATTCTTGCAAGCTTTGTTGGGCATGTTTTTGACCTACAATATCTATGGAAAACAAAGGAAGAAAAAAATCAATTGATATATAGAAATTAA